AATGCTGATCGAGTCCCGCTTCCTGAGAATGTTGTACAAAGCAAGACCACAGATCATGACACTGGAAAATCTAAGTCAAATCCTACTAAGGTTAAAGGGAGAGATGGTTCTTCTCACAAAACTTCATCTAAGTGAGACTTGAAATTAACATGGTTAGGATGACAGGAAAGTTGCTGACTTCAACAACAACAAGCCAGTTTTAGTATTGGATCTCTGAGACTTTGTACCCCCAACAACTTGGAGCGGAAGAGTGGCATGGTACATAATTGTAATATTTGACCTTATTGTCATAGTTACCTTATCTATTTCTATTTCTTTGGCAGTTGTTTTAATTACAATAATGAATATTGTATTGGCCTGAAGTTTTAGAATAAAGCTAGGACTATGAAAATGGTTTCTTTATGCCAATTGATGTTATATATGCTATTGCCATGAATAAACGATCATGGAATTAGTGTATTTTGATCTTACCCTCTCGAATATGTTCGTGTTTAAATTTCCTTATTGCTTTTGCCACAGGTCCCTATAGAAGGAAATTTTCTTAATTTTATTGCAATTTTTGTAAGAAATGTCCGCAAGATTATTTATGTTCTTAGGAGTTGGTTTCTATTTGCCCTCTACTCCATCAAATTGACATGGTTATTCCTATACTATTTCGGTACAATCATCATCGATCTAATGTACTGTGCTAGAATTCAGTATAACAAATTGCAGATATAGTAATAGCTTTCAAACCATTAAACAAGTATAATCAATCATTTCGCGTCCCTTTACTATGATACCACAGTGCCCTAAATGAACTTGTAAAGTGACGAATTGATCCCAATAAGCCCAAAATGTTTTATTCTGTATACACCTTGAAGTAAGTTTGGAAGGCCCGTTCCCCTTGAAGCGCAGGCAGAAATCATCATCATTTAGAGAAATTCCACCAAAAAGGTACCTAAATCTAGCTTACTAATATGGGAATTAGATAGTAAAGTTTTCACACTTTTTACATAATTGATGCATCCAGTCAAATATAAGGTATATATCTTAGCCATTTATTTATCTTTTATCATGCCTTTCCATATTTTTCATAGGTGTTTCAATGAAACCAAAGAGATAGAAGTTTGAGAATTGTCGCCTTGTTATGGGAGATTTCAATACACTTCTGTTGAATAAAAGCAAATTTTTAGCTTTTTGCATCTTGGCATTTTGCAATGACTCAAAGGTACTGGGTTGGAAATAAAAACCCTAATGGTGGTGGGTTTTTAATTTATGTATTTGTAAATTTCATATCATTTACAAATAGTTTTTTTTTGTGTGTGTGTATTTTCATATTTTTGTTGATGTTTAGTATGCCTTTTATGTCTCTTTTATCATAAATTACTACTTGTATTTGTGTGCACTTGTAAGTAGAAAAATGGGTTTAAAGAGGGTCCAAATATGAAAATCAAGCCTAGAAGAGTAATGATAATTTTTGGAGGCAAAATTAAATCCAGAAAAGGATGAACTAGTAAGCTTCGCAAGTTGCGTGGGGAACGTTTCGCGCCTATGGAGCATAACATGACAAATTTTCAAATGTTCTTTCTATTTCAGATAAAGGCCCATGAAAAAAAACTAGTCTTTTTGAGAGGAAGAAACCATGGGAGGGAGAAAGATTCAAAAGAGAGGAAAAAGCCCTGAAAAATCATCAAGAAAGTCTTGTTTTGATATTGTATGGATTGTATGATTGTGAATATTGATATTTTCTCTTATGACAATGATGTATTACTATTGAATTTCCTTTCTTCTATTATATTGATATTCTATGAATTTTGGTTTAATTCTTGGGCATTTTTAATACTTGTGATTGTGTTAGGCCTCATGGTTACATGATTATATATAGATATCAGAGGAGGGAAAACTAAAGATGAACCCTAATATTAGAAAATTTTAAATTAAACCCAAGATTTAAATGACAATGGTGGAGAAAATATTAAATTATCATAAAATATTAAGAAATTTAGTTTGACACGATTATCATTAAAGCAAGAGTTGATCAAGTTAGGCACATTGTTGTATTATATATAAAAAAAAACAATAATAACTTACCCTCAAAATTTATAGAATTTATTAAGTAACGTATTTTATTTGGTAGTAATCATTGCTAATCATATTTACATCAATTAATCAGCCTTAAATATATATTTTTATCTCTCAGAATACAAATATATTTTTTGATTCCTATAACTTTTTTTTTATTTTAATCCTTAACTTTTAAAAATTATTAGTTTTGATCCCTCGTCATTATTAAATGATGACATGATTAACTTGTATGTTCTCATGTGTTATTTTTACGTCACGGGTCATATGTTTTTTTTTTTCCATACCCACGTTAGTGAATGACCAAAAATAAAATGCAATATATTGTGGAAAATAAAAAATATATTTAACCCAAATTAGAAGCATTGGAGAGCTAGACATGGTTGAGAGATAGATTTTCAAAGAATCAAATTTTCATATGCGTCTCTTATAAGCTCCTAAGCGAACTCAAACAAGCATAAGATTAGCCAATTCATGTGTAATAACTCTTATACTCAGTTTCTTTTGCGTAGATTAATGTTGAATTTTGTTTACAGAGCGAAGAACAATACTTGAAGGTAGAGCACAAATGTATTTGTATCATAAAATTATCATTGATATATAGACTTGGTGACATAAAAATTACAAGAATTCAATTGATCTATTATTCATTATCTTTTCCAATTCAAAAATGGTATTAGAATTAACATGGATGGTATTTAATGTGTTACACATGTAGTTGAGTTAGTTTAGTTATGCTATTATGCATGACGGAGATTGATGACTTTGTACATATATTCTTTCATTTGATGAATTAATCAGTTCACAATTTCCACAATTCTATTCTCGAGTTACGGTATCACAGGCTCAGATCCACTTTACATGGATCACCAGAACCTTATCACAAGAAATTTCATAAAGTACGATCTATATAGAAAATGCAATGGAGCTATGGAACGATTTGCGAGATCGATTTTCGAGAGGCAATCATTTTTGCATGTCAGATTTACTCCAAGAAATAAATTAATCTGTCAAGGTGAATGAAACGTCATCAATTACTTTACGGATTTGAAGGTTATGTTTCTTGAGTCCTTGAGGTCTATTACAAATTGCACATGTGATGTCAAACAAGTGTGATTTGACAAAAAGCATAAAGAAACAAAGAGAAAGGATGTTATATGTTTCTTGAAAGGATTAGATGATCTAGTTGGCATTGTAAAACTCAGATTCTGCATTAACCTTTGTCATCCATTAGCAAAACTTTTCTTTGGTCCTACAACAAGAAAGGCAAATAGGAGGAAGTATTTTGGGTGAACCTCCTATATTCTTGATGAGTAGCATCAACAATGTTCATAGAGACAATCAGCAAGCAAAGCGAGTGCGTAGCAGAGGCCTTGGTCAAGGAAAAGGTTCAAACAATAATTTTGCACTAAATGTGTGCACCTTTTGTGTCAAGACAAGGTATACAGTGGAAACCTGCTACTTCAAGCATAACTTCAGGATTCAAGTTCAAAGACAAAATCTTCACAGTGAACAGTTCCTCTGCTGATGATTGCAATTTATCTCACTAGATGATCAAGAGTCCAAGCTTGACCAGACCACCAATGGAGTAAATGTTACCCCAGAAATGAACCAAATATTGGTCTCCCCACAGCAGCAAAGCGAAAATGGAGAAATAAGCAAACAGCCAAGTCAACCATATGAGTTCCTCCACTGTTAATCAGAATATAACACAGCAACTCACTGATACACAATTTCTTTTCACTTATTGGATCATTGACACAGGAGCTAGTGATCATATGTCATTCCTTGTCACTTTTCCAATTCTTTTTATCGGATCAAACCTATCAGTGTCAAGTTGCCAAATGGTACTTGTATTATAGCTAACATCTCAGGCACAATCATGTTTACTTATAACCTTGTCTTATACAATGTGCTTTATATTCCTGATTTTCAATTTAATCTGATCTTAGCGTATAAACTTACTAGCTCTTCAAATTGCAAACTAATATTGAATAGTCATTCCTGTGTTATTCAGGAACAACATTCATTGAAGAAGATTGGCATGCTAGAGCCAAATACAATCTCAAGTTCAAAGACAAAATCTTCAGAGTCCACTTGTAACCCCATCTGTCCATGATCATTATTATTTTTAATTGTTGAAGATGATTACACAAGGCATACTTGGTTGTATCCTATGAGGGCAAAGATTGAGAGACCTGCAGCCAGTGACTAATTTTGTTAACATGGTCTTGACATAATTTGGGTGCAGGTTTGACAATGAACCTGAATTTGCTATAAATGCCTTTTATGGAGAACATGGTATCATTCATCAAAGATCCTATGTTGAGACACCTCAACAAAATGCAGTGTTGAGATAAATGTTGCAAGGGCTCTTTTGTTTCAGAGTAACTTACCAAAACAATTCTGGTGCTATGCGGTCAGTCATGCAGCTCACTTAATTAATAGGTTGCCCTCCATTGTTCTTCACCAAATGACTCCATATGAATTGCTACATCTCACACATCTTGAGAATTTAAGGGTGTTTGGTTGCTTGGCATTTGCGTCACATTGATGCAAGAAAGGAAAATTTTGGATCCTTGAGCAAGAAAATGTGTTTTCCTTGGTTTCAAGCTTGGTGTTAAGTGGGCCCGTGTTAAGTGAAATTATGATAAGAAACTCAAATGCATTATTTTCTTCATTTTGCAATGCAATAACATAATTTGAATATGAATTGTAAATGACTTGACTAGACTAAAATATATTTATTTGACAATCGATTCTATTACAGGAACCAAGTACTTTCCTGGGATATATGTTTCTTTTCTTTCCTTCTTCCCCCCCCCCCCCCCCTCTCTTGTTTCCTTTTCTATATATACATCAATTAGTTGGTTTAACTATCACAATTACAAAGCTCTCAAATGAAATACAACATAATTTGGAAGGTATTTGTCATCTTACATGATAGAGCAACTATCACCCTTCCTGAAAAAAGAAATCCACGTGATCATATTATCCCACTAAAATTTATAGTAAATAAAACGTAATCCTTTCATCTTATTTAAAAATATGAAAGTTTCATGTTGTGAGGGAAAGAAGAGTTGTCTTGGGACAAGCTCAGGTCAATAAATCTTGTGCCTAATCTCAATTCCTATCAAAAAGGGGAGGATTCAAAATGTGTGTACCTCTTTGTTTCTTCATATTTGCTGAGAGTTTCCTTGAATTCTAGCCAGAGAGTGCTGGTATCCTGAAGGTTCACATTTTTTGGCCCTACAAAATATGCTTCAACAAAAAACTCTGGATTTCTTTCCCTGAATTACAATCGTTGAATTGAACATGAATTGGTCAGGATAAACATTCAAGACAGTAATGATCGACATTGATTTATTTTGTCTTGTTACCACATTTTATTCTTCCAAAGGTGCATGCATCATTAATTTAGTCATCTAATGTTAAATATATGCAAATATGTTATTTAGGAAAATAGTATCCATGTAATTATAATAATTAAGTAACTGGATATTTGTTCTTAATTACATAGTTATCATTATGAATATGATTAGCATTGTTAATGTAAATATACATCCTGTGGTGTAGTTGACGTTTTCTCTTATCTTAATATGGTATCAAGAGTCTAAAGAGAAGGAAACCTTAATCCGTGCTTAACCCTAATTTGTCCTTTCCCTATGGGTCCACTTCTCATAGGTGTAAGTTTTTTCTAGAAACCAGAGACACGGTTTCTAGTTTTTTTTTTTTTCTAGCAATCTCCTCCACCGGCCACCACTGTTCACCACTGACAACTTTTCTGGTGTGATTTTTTTTTTCCAGCTTCTCACCATTATGGGTTCACCCCACCATAAACAACACAACCAGTCATCACGTCAGTGCATCACGAACGGAAATCCCACATGCCCACACTCGCCACCTCCTTCTCTGGGGACTTTCTCTCTCTGCCACCATTTCTGTTACACATGACAGCGTGTGCGGCAACCTTTCAGCCTCCTTCTTTGCTGACTAGACTCGCATTTTCGAGAAGGTTCTGGATTTGTGGTCCTTTTTTCCATTTGACTTTTGAATGTTGTTGTTTTTCCTGTTTTCCTACTATTTGATTGTTTTTATCTCTCTCTTAGGCTGACCCATGGCAACTCCAGCTCCTCCTAAACTTGAAGCTCCTTTTTTCACCAACTTTGTCATTGCTCCAGTTGTCTACTAACAAGCTGGATGGGAGTAATTATGATTTTTGGACCTCTAACATCAAACTTTGGCTCAAAGGTCATGATTATCTCGACCATCTCACCACCAAAGAAGATACTGTAGCTGCGACTAAATGTGCTATATGGAGTAAGATTGATGTTCAACTTTGTAGTGTCATCAAGCCCACTATTCATCCTTCTGCGAAGCAGATTTTTTGCTCCCATGATACATGTGAATCAGTTTGGTTACAAGTCAAGTTGCTTTAAACTAATGATATACAAAATCTATATAGAGTATGTCAAACTCTCATAAGTGTTATTTTATATCTTTTGATATTACTTTCTTTGAGTTCATTTCCTTCTTTCGTTCTTCTGCAATGTCTGAGACAGGACTAGAATCTATCATGCCTTCTCCACCAATTCTGATTATTTTTCACCCACCAGAGATACCACCTCCTCTAGATGACCCTCCTCTACGTCTGTTACAGGGGTACTATCGTTAGTCACCAGCTCCTCCTTTGCCCACCATTGACATACCATGTGACCCTTCGTCAGCTTTAACACGTGACCCTCTGGCCCTATTACCCGACATTGATCTTCTTATTGCATTTCGAAAAGGTATACGTTCCACTCGTAACCCCTCTACTCATTATGCTGCTTTATCATATCATCGTCTATCTTCTTCCCAATATATCCAATATATATGTCTTTCTTCTTTGTTGTTTGTTTCTATTCCTAAGAATACAACAGTTCTCTCACATCCCACTGAGCATGAAGCAATGCTTGATGAAATGTGTGCACTTCACAACAATGGCACTTGTGATCTTGTTCTTCTTCATTCAGGTAAATATTTCGTGGATTGCAGGTGGACATACACTGTCAAAATGGGTCTTGATGGTCAAGTGGATCACCTTAAAACTCGTATTATGGCAAAAGATTATACTCAGATCTTTGGATTGGAGTATGGTGACACATTCTCTTTAGTCGATAAAATGACTTTTGTTCGCTTGATCTTGTTCATGGTTGTCATTTGCCACTTGAATCTTCATCAACTTAACATTAAGAATGCATTTCTGCATGGCGACTTTGCTGAAGAAGTTTATATGAAGTAACCTCTTGAATTTGTTGCTAAGGGGGAGTCTTCAAGATTAATTTGTCAAATTTGAAAATTCTTGTATGGTCTTAAACAGTCTCCAAGAGTTTGATTTGGTATATTTAGCATCGTTGTTCAACAATTTGGGATGATTCAGATTGAAGTTGATCCTCAGTCTTTTATCACCACTCAGCTATAGGATGCATTTACTTTATTGTGTATGTGGACAATATTGTTATTATTAGCAATCACTATCATGATATTACACAGTTGAAAAACCACTTCAAACAAAAGACCTCGGTAAACTTTGATATTTCTTGAGAATAGAGATGACACAATCCAAGTATAGTATTGTAATTTTCCAAAAGAAGTATGCATTAGATATATTAGAAGAAACATGTTTGATAGGGGCCAAATCTGTAGATACTCTTATGGATTCTAATTCTAAACTTCTTCCAAGTCAAGGGAAACCTCTTGCTAACCCAGAAAGGTATGGAAGATTGGTTGGTAAAATAAATTACCTCATGGTTACTTGACCCGACATTCCTTTTGTTGTTAGTGTGGCAAGTTAGTTCCTTAACGCTCCTTATGAAGGACATGAGATGCATTGACTCACATTTTGAAGTATATCAAGGAGCTTCAGGCAAAGGTCTCCTATATGAGGACAAGGACTGTGATAAGATTGTTAAATATTCTAATGCAGATTATGCAAGTTCTCATGATACGAAGTTCATTTCTTTTCTGGCTATTGTGTTTTGATTGGAGGTAATTTGATTTCTTGGAAGAGCAAGAAGCAAAATGTGGTTTCTTTCTCAAGTGTAGAAATAGAATATCAAGTCATGGCTTCAACCACATGTGAACTTATATGACTAAAATAACTACTTAAAGAACTAAGATTAGGAGAAGATACACAAATGACACTCATTTGTGCCAATCAGGCAACCTTACGCATTGCCTCGAATCTAGTTTTTCACAAATGAACAAAGCATATTAAGATTGATTGTCACTTCTTTCATAAAAAGATCTTGTTAATATGTAAATATAGTAATTAAGCATGATTGATGTGTAATTATAGTAATTAGGCCAGTAAAATAGCGTAATTACAACATGATATCAGGATTACCTTTATTAAAGTAATAATCTGTAATTAATGTAGATTCCTTTGTACATGTATAAATTCAGACTCTTGGGTCATATGCAATCCACATAAAAGCATACATGTATCTATTTGGTAGTGTATGTGAATGATATTGTCATTACTGGCAGTGATTGCATGGGCATTCAGTGCCTCAAACAGCACTTGTCCCTACATTTTCAGACCAAGGATCTCGGTCCTCTCAAATATTTCCTTAGCATTGAAGTTGCCCAATCCAGCCATGAGATTTCTCTCAATCAACGCAAATACACCCTTGATATTCTTACTGAAACTAACATACTTGACTGTCGTCCGACTGATTCTCCTATGGATCCCAATATCAAGCTCTTTCCGGGTCAGGGGGAGCCTTTGAAAGACCCAGAAAGGTAACGACACTTAGTTGGTAAACTCAACTACCTCACCATCATTAGACCATACATCACTTTTGTCGTAAGTGTAGTCAACGAGTTGTTAAATGCTCCCTGTACCAGCCATTAGGATGCTATTGTTCGCATTCTCAGATACATCAAACATGCACCAAGCAAAGGGCTACTTTATCAGAATAAGGGAAACTCTACTATTGTTGGCTACTCTAATGCTGATTAGGCTGAATCACCATTAGATAGACAGTCTACTTTGGAATACTACATCTTTATTAGGGGAAACTTAATTTCATGGAAAAGCAAGAAGCAACACATTGTTGCTAGATCCAGCATAGAAGTAGAATGCTGTGACCACGTGTGAACTTACTGGGCTAAAACAATTACTCCAACAACTTAAAGTAGGAGAGGTCGATAAAATGAAGTTAATTTGTGACAATCAGGCTGCATTACACATAGCCTCTAATCCGGTTTTTCATGAACGAACCAAGCACATAGAAATTGATTACCATTTTATTAGAAAAAAGATTCTCGCAGGAGAAATTGAGACAAGTTTTGTTGGCTCGAATGATTAGTTGGCAGATTTGTTTACAAAATCCTTAAGAGTGCCTCGAGTGGAATATATTTGTAACAAGCTTGATGCATATGATTTGTATGCCCTAGATTGAGAGGGAGTGTTGATATATAAATATAGTAATTAGGCATGATTGATGTGTAATTATAGTAATTAGGCCAGTAAAATAGCATAATTACAGCATGATATCAGAATTATCTTTATTAAGGTAATAATCTGTAATTAATTTAGATTCCTTTTTACATGTATAAATTTAGACCCTTGGGTCATATACAATACACAGAAAAACAAATTCAAGTATCAGATTCTACATATCTTATTTGTAATTATTGCCACAAGTTTTGTCAATTCAAATGATTAACTAGCAGATGTATTCACGAAGTCTATAAAGGGTCCTCATATGAAGTACATATGTGACAAACTCAGTGCATATAGTTTATATACTCCAGCTTAAAGGGAAGTGTTAAATATATGTAAATATGTTATTTAGGAAGATAGTATCTATGTAATTATAGTAATTAGGTAACTGTATGTTTGTCTTTAATTATGTAACTATAATTATGATTAACATTGTTAATATAAATATACATCCATGGTGTAGTTAAGACATAAAATTCATCTCATCCTTTCTTGTTTTCTCTCATCTGAACATCTAATAATAAATACATCAAAATGAACATTTAATGTCAATTTTTTACTTCAAGTTAGTTCTTCTATGTCAATTTTTGAAAACAAATTACTCCTCCAAAATGATCAATTTGATGCTAAATTTGACATTGAAAGACTATTCTAATAAATTTATACATTGTTAGAGGACCAAATCAATAACACTCATATCTTGAAGGACCAAGATAAATGGACATTATTTTCTTTAAAATAATTGTTGTAGACTATATACTTTGCAATATTATAAAAGTTTGGGAGGCCATTATTTGCCTCAATATACACTATATGCATGGCTCCTTATCCTCACCCTTCTCCACTATGTATGTCCTAAATAAGGAAATTTTTGGATTCCTACCCATATTTTCCTTCCTTCCAAATTTATCCATCTCAAAGCCTTCCAAACAGCAAGGATGGAGACAAGGGAGAAAAACTAGACATCTTCAAAATTTTCTTTCAAATTCAGTATACAACATGCAGTTTGGTCCAATCAAAAAAATAAATTAGTATTTGACCCCTAACATGAAATTCTTAGCTCCATCCTTGCCAAGCAAACCATTAGAGTCAGAGGAAATGGAATAACACATGTGGACATTGAATGCCATATATGCAACTAATTGATTGAAAATGAAGAATATTTTAGAATTGGGTATCTTTTATGTAGAAAGAAAAATCTTTACTGGTGGTGATCAGATCAGACATACCTTCCTTCATATTCTGACAACCATGCTACGTAAGCGGCTCCAAAGTACATGGATACAAATGGATTGTTAAGATCATCAACGGATTCAAGTTCATAAGCCTTGGAGCCCAAATCACTGAACAAAAACAAGACATTGCACACAGATATCAGTTTTAAGAGAAGAAACAAATGCATTTTTTTAATAATATTATGTCCATTTTTGGCAAAATAAAAATAGAAGTCTTTCTTTATAATTGCAAATTAACAGGTCTTGCTTAACTTAAATCTAGAACTTGGCAAAGTCAAAGATATTTGTTACTAAGAATGCCATCACAAATGCGCAATACTTTCTAAAATTGATGATAATGGATATTAGTCTAATTTCAAATTTATAAAATTTCCAATCTTAAATAAATATATTACACACATAGATATAATACTTTTGTCAATATATATTCAAAAAGTAATAATGGATATGTCCTATACATACAAATAAAGCCAAGAAGCAGTGGAATAGTCAATCCCCATTATTCCAGGTCGCGATCCAACTCCATGTACAAAACGCATGCTAGAAACCTCCCCAATTGCACAAAGTACTGACTGTGCACCAAACAATGTACCAGAAAAATTATAAGATATTCATATGGTATTATATATTTCTAACAAATGCATGTAAAAAAAAAAACACACACATTGAATGTACAGTCTGTTATTTTCTCCACCAAATCAAAGAAACACTGAAAAATACCAGAAATTTTGTCTTCAAGGAATTTTTTAATATTCATTGGATTTCATAATCATGCCATTGAAAACAGAAATTGAATCTCCTGCTTTCTCTGAAGATTCGTTAGCTTAGTCACCGTAAACATTATGAGTGCATTTGGATACCACAACTTATTTAAGTAATTATTCAATAAGTTCTTTGTAAGCGGTGACTTATGCCATAAATTTAACAGTGAAACTTATTACGATAAGTTGAACACAACTTATTTTGATAAGCTATAATAAGAAACTTATTGAAATAAGTTGAAAAGATCATAAGCTTTTTCAAGCAGACCCTATAGGGTACAACATATTACATCAAGAATGGATAATACATGATTTGATAGTGGATTGGGCTAGTGCTAAGGCGCTTGGATAGTTTGCAGGAGGTTATAAGTTCAAACCTCATAGCCACCATTTTACCCAAGAAATGTATGGAATTTGTTAAGGTTAATATCTTTGTAATTATGATAATAAAGTAATTGCAGATTTAGTAATTATTTTGTAATTATTGCTAATATTATTATTAATATAAATATCTAGCCCATTATGTAGTTGAGACACACGGTTTCCACCAATTCTCTTTCATTTTTTTCTCTCTTAATATGGTATCTAGAGTCTAGCAAAAGGGTAATTTTAAATCCGTGCATAGCCGGTGGGCCAACTGCCGATTGGTAAAATAAATTTCCTAGAAATCGCGCTTCAATTCTAGTTCTGGTCTTTCATCCACTGCATCATTGTTCATCACATACTATTCCAGCATGACTATTCTGATTTTCCAAACACTTTTCCAGCCACCATCAAGCTTGCTTAATTTGCCTCGTTGAGATGATTCCGGATCTGTGGCCTCTTTTTCTGTCCTGTTGGCTACTCATAGCGTCTTCAACCCCTCCCAAAGCTCATATCTTTGTTTTTACCAACTTTGTCACTACACCACTCTCCATTGATATCCTCCATAACTTCCTTTGTAGAAGATCACCATGCCTCCACGGTTTTTGTTGCACACACTGGTAACAAATATCTCTTTTCTTCTCTCTCTACCCCTAGTTATTTACCTTCATTTATTATGACAAACGACTCCAAAACAAAGTCTCAAGGTATTAGTACTGTTCATCTCTTTCCATCCTTACCTATTGACAATGTCTTAGGGTCTCCTTTTAATCTTTTATCCCTAAATCATTTTACTCTCACTCTAGATTGTATTGTCTACTAAATATTTTGTTTTCCACTAAGATCAAAGTTCAGGGCAGATGATTGGCACCGGATGTGAGTTACATGACTTTTATCACCTCTATTCTAATGCTCATGCTGGTTTGACACTGAATTCTCCTCTCCTTCTGCATACTCAATTGGGTCATCCCAATCTCTAGAAGCTACAATAACTAGTGTCCAGTCTTTTCAATGTCTAACTTGCCTTATGAATTGTGTCAATTAGGTAAACATGTTTATAATTATTTTCATATGCATATTAATAATCGAGTTGCGTCTCCCTTTAGATTAGTCCACTCAGATGTTCAGAGTCCTAGTCATATAATGTCTACTTTAGGATTTTAGTGTTTTGTTACATTAGTTGATTATTATTCTCGTCGTACTTAATTGTTTTCTTTATGAAAATTCATTCTGAATGATTTTCTATTTTTCAAACCTTTTATCATGAAAGAAAAGTTCAATTTGGTATTGTTATACGCAATTTGTGTAGTGATAATGCTCGAGAGTACTTCTTTGATTCTTTCTAACAATTTATGGCTTCCAATGGAATACTTTATCAAACCTCCTATGCTCATACTCCTCAACAAAATAGGGTTGCCAAAAGGAGAAATAGGCATCTATTTGAAGCTAATCGCACTTTCCTTTTGCATGATAATGTCCTTGGTTGTTTTTCTGGGTTATGTTCTTAGACCATGTTATCTTACCAATCAACTACCTTATTCTATTTAGAACAAACAGGTACCTCACTCTCCTGTTTTCTCACTAGTCTCTTTATCCTTTACCTTCTCGTGTGTTTGGGTCTACTTATTGTCCCTAATCTTAGTCTAAGGGATGATAAACTTTTTGCTCATGCTTATAAATGTGTCTTTCTGGTTATGTTTTCTCTTAGAAGAGTTATAAGTGTTATTATCCAATTCTTAAGCATTACCTTATCTTTGTTGATATCACTTTCTTTAAGTTTGTCCCACTTTTTGGTTCTTCATCTACATCTTCTATGTTAGGCCTGCTATGTTTCTTTCTCTAATTCAGGTTGTTTTTCACCCACCAGAAATATCAGCTCCTTCAAATGAGCCCCCTCTACATTCTTTACAAGTGTATTGTCAGCAACCTCCTCCAAATGACCCTCCTCCTTTGTCATTATTGGCTAGCATTGGGACTTCATCTAACTCAATGCCACAACCAACTCCTCCAGCCTTACCTACTAAGTCTAGTCTTCTCATTGCTATTCGAAAAGGCATGTGGTCTACTCGTAATTTCTTTCCTCATTATTACTTCAACATATCACTATTTGACTTCTTTCCAATATATGTGTTTTTCTTTTTTGTCTTTAGTTCCTATTCCTAAGAATACAGATGAAGCCCTCTCACACCTTGGGTGGCGTCAAGCAATGATAGAAGGATGTGTGTGCTTTAGAGCAGTGACACCTGGGATCTCGTTCTTCTTCCTTTAAAAAATTCGTTGTTGATTGCAAGTAGATTTACACTGTCAAAGTTGGCTCTGTTGGTCAAGTTGATCACCTTAAAGCTTGTCCAGTAGCAAAGAATTATATTCACATCTTTGGTTTAGATTATGGTGACACATTCTCTCTAATAGCTAAAATTGCTTTTGTTCATTTATTCTTATTTGTGGCTGTCATATGCCACTGGCCTTTACATCAACTTGATATAAAAAATGTTTTTCTTCGTGGTGATTTTAATAAGAAAATTTATATGGAGTAACCTCTTAGATTTGTTGGTCAGGAAAAGTCTTCAAGATTAGTTTGTCGTCTAGGAAGATTCTTGTATGGCATTAAACAATCTCCATAGCTTGGTAGATTCAGCATTGTTGTCCTCCAACAATTTGGCATGTCTCAGATGGAAGCTATTCATTCAGTTTTTTATCGACATTCAGCCATAGGATACATTTATTTAATTTTTTATGTTAATGACGTTGTTTTTACTGCATTATACAATTAAAGAACCATCTATGTCACAATTCAAGAATGATATTGTAATTTTCCAGAGAAAGCATGCATTGGATATTATACAAAAAAAAATAAGTTTGTTTTGAAAGTGAAAACATTTTTGCTATGGTGCATGTGCATCATAAAACATTTTTGGTATGGATCAATTAAGGAAAAAGTTTACATTTTGATTTGACTTGTTAAATTAGTTCTAGACTCGAGAGTTTATGAGTTTGCACAAGTTCCAAGAGTATACCCCGAGTTTATCAAAAAAAGAGTTTGACAGCGAATTAACTCAAATTCCTTGTCTAGAATCATAAACTTGTAAGAATATATATAAGGGTTAACTCAAGAAGTCCTACAATTCTACATACTTACAGATTTAATATCCGCTGTGTTGAGGCGTTTGGATAGAACTATATCTGCAACTGCCTGTAAGATATAAATTAGTATGATAGGACATCAAATACTTCATATGCATTACTATCTTTAAGTAGACAAGATGCAAAAACATGAGCCCCTTGTCAAGAGAGAGAAAAGAAAGAATACAGAGGATAAATATCATTTCTATTTGAAATAACGAGAGAAAAAAATGCAAGGAATGAAACATCAAAATTTAAAAAGTCATCTCATAAAAAGTTTATAAAATATTCAAGAATTAAATAAGTGTATGGACATAATTGAAAAGATAGTAACTAATGTTTTCTTAAACTTTAGGTAGACAGGTAAAAAGAAACGAATGGAGAAATACAATCGTGTAATTACTCACAGTAATAGACTCATACCTGCATTTCCACCTGAGAAAGATATGGTCTGTTCTTTTCATCAAGAGAAAATCGCACCTTTCCTTTTTTTTGTTTGGATTTATTCCACATTTTTTGGACCCGAGGATGGATCCATATAGCTGCCATATCTTCTGGTGATGCTCTAGAATCCCAATATGTGTCAGCACTTGCATCTTCATTTAAAATATAGCGAAAACCTTGTCAGCCAACATAGCAATACAAGCAAAGGCAATTTTTAAGAATATTTTAAAATACAATTAAATTAATAGAAGAGAAGACTGCCAATATTCAGATCAATTTATGAAGTTGACATATCATAAGGAAAGTTGAAATAGAATCAACATTAGATGATAAACATCAACTTAAAAGCAAAGGCAAAAAAGAACTATCGACGTTAAATTTTTTACTGTCACAGCACAATCTATGCAATTCAATGCATATTACTTTATATTTCAGCAAAATGACAATATCAACTATCAGTAGATAAAGATAATTAGCAAACTTTCTAAACTGCCTTTTTTCCCTTCATAGTTTTAATATTAAGCCTTCTTCAAGTGTTTCATGATCTTATTCTAAGTCTATAGCATCTACAACTAGCATTCCAAGACTAGATGCTGAAAAACTCAACCACTGAAATAAGAAAAACTGAACTCACAATAATCCAATGTATTTAAGCAATTTAGGCATAACTACGTTCCAGAATTACTACAATGACAACTTTGAAAGATAAACTTTGGGCATTCACAACAACCAATCATCCCATGTTTATGTACAAAATGTAGATTCCAAAGGATTGTTTGTTTATATTCATACATTGTGAACAGAACCTACATTCAGCAGTGAAAAGTGAACACCTGGCCCTTTTCACTGGATGAGGGAAGGTACTAAGCATGGTTTGGAAAGCGTCATCCTCCATTCGTTCCAACTTCAGAATACATAAAAAGTGAACAATACAAGTGCTGCAAAGCACAAGAAAGCAGATTTAGACAAGTGTCCCTTGGTATGCCTAAGCAAAGGAATCACACACAAGTCGAGCTAAAAGAGTACTCTAATAAGCAGAAACTCAAAAGGTGGTATTTGGCTTGAAGGACTTCGAGGTGTGCTTTACTATAGTAGAGGCATATTATGCCTTAAAAAGGAGGTAATCCTATGCGCAACTCGCATCCCAAGACATGTCAAGCAATGTTAGGATCCTAATTGCAAGATACAGGACTTGAGTCCCACATTGGAAGTATGGGATTTATAAGGCCTTGGGCTCTCCAACTATAGTAGTTAGCTTTTGTGGTTTAGTTCTTCCGAGGTTCTTATCAATTGGTATCAAAGTCTTCCACCAGGTCTCAGCAATAATCAAGCGACGCTGGTGGTGACACCGGTATTGCAGTTGGACCATTGTTAGCATAGAAGTAAAAAGGCAATGATACTTTAGAGATCAACACACTTCGTGGAGTGAACGAGTTCATGTGAAAAGAACACACATAACAAAGATCGAGCGAGTTCATATAGAAATACATGCACATTACCCAGTAAGCAAGTTCGCATAAAAAGACACATGTCTTGAAGGAAGAAATTCATGTAGAAAAGCATGTACAATGCAAAGCAAACAAGTTTGTATAAACATACATGTGCAACACAAAGCAAGAGAGGAAAGCCCATAAAGTGTAAGCATCAAAGCACGAGGACTGCAATAGGAACATGCTTGCAAATTATGCATGCTAACATTGGTACAAGTTCTTCATGGAGCTAAGTACTTAATTTTGACTTTTAATTTACATTTACACGTTATTACGTCTTTCAAATGGCTAAAAGTACAAGTAGTGGAGACAACGAATAGTGCTATTCCAAAGTAACATGCTTAAATAGTGTGTTCATTTGATAAACGTAAGTCATATCTAGTCGTTCTAAACATGACACTATGAGGATTAGAGCGTACTTGAACAATGGCTTTCTTGTTTAAAATTGCTTTCTTAGTTTACCACTTCCTTGTGTAAATTTTTCTCTCACATGGAATCATTTTTATGATTGACTGTTTTCTTTCTTAAGATCACCTTCTTGATTGAATGCTTTTTTGTTTGAAATTATTTTCCAAATGATTATCTTCATGTTAAAGATTGCTTCTTGAATAATCATTTTCTTTATCAAAATTGCTTTGAAACACATGCTGAAAGGACCAAGTATTCAGTATTTGAAAAGGGAAGAGGTAAATACTTTATAAATCACGCTTAGTATCTCACTCCCTATCCAATAAGAGCTAAGAGTTTGGTATTTAAAAAGAGCGAAAATGAATACTTTCCAAAGCATGTTTAGTTCCTCACTCCTATCATCTAGTAAAAAAGGTTAAGTATTCGATATTTGGAAAGAGTACAAGTGGACACTTTCCAATGCACATCTAGTACCTCTCTTTCCTTATCCAATAAAAAGGACTAAGTATTTGGTATTTGGAAAAAGTGAAGGTAGACGCTTTCCAAAGAATGCTTAGTACCTCACTCCCTTCATCCACTAAAAAGGGCAAGTGTTTGGTATTTGAAAAAAAACATAAGTGAATGGTTTCCAAAACATACTTAATACTTTGCTTCCTTCACATTAGTGAAAGTCGCCCCAAGGACCTAGAAAGCAAAAATTAGATCTTCCAAATTAGGCGAGACTATTGAAAAGCGAAGCATGGTCTTCCCATGCAAATTGAAAAACAAACTTTAATCTTTTCTGGATTAAGAAACAAACCTTGAAAAATAAAGTTCGATCTTTTCAAGGAAAATAAGATAAAATGTTGGGAGCAAAGTTTGATCTCCCTCAGCCAATCAAAAAACCAAATATGATCTTTTCAAAAACAAAGGAGCAAATGCAAGTTCAAGTACAAGTGAAAAAAAAAAACTGAAAACAAATGAAATGCAAAAGCAAATGCAAGAAGAAAGTGTATAACCAAAAGTGAACGCAAAAACAAGGATTCCAATGTAGGTACAAATACCGATGTAGAAATAAACAAAACAAGAGTATATGTATGAATGAAGTATGAAAAGAAAACCTGTTCTGAAGGCGTATAAAGTCTAATGCAAGAGTACGCATTATCCTTTTTAACAAAAAAAAGATTATATGAAGGCTAGTTGAGGTCCAGAGATATTATTGGCACACCCAAAACTAAACAACAGAACAAACAACTGCAGCAATGGATGGGCCAGGACAAGTACATGACAAGGCAAGCGCGTATAAGGCACACCAAATAAATTGAAAATGAAACTATGCAGAAAATACAAGACAAGACATAGCGCCATGAAAGGAGGACCAAGATATTGCCCCTGAATCTGTGAGCATGCGAACAAAAGAATTGACACACATGACAGTAAAGGCACTCAAGCAATACAAAATAAAATCCACAGGCAAGACAAGCTTAACAAGATCATGATACAAGCAAGTAAACTAAAAGACTCCCAATGTAATCATGTTCTCAGTGTTAAACCAAAAATTTGAGTGCAAAAAGTCTTCCCCAAGCAGCAGATTGAGAATTTAAGAGCAAAGGTAAATTTCTTTGAACAGTAAGACAAACAAATAAAATTATATAAAACATCCTTAGCGTTCATTCATAAGCCTTCATACATAACATGCACCCATTCATCAGTATTTGTACACATGCACATGGCACTCACACATAACACCCATAAAAAGAACACATTTACATGATCTATAGTCATGGATGCTTTGTCCTCAAGAACAAGGTTCCAAGACACACATGGCTAGGTATAGTTAGCAATCACTCTGCGAGTCATTCAAAATCACTTCTGTTATTACTAAGGGAGGTTTCAAATCTTTCACAAGTATATTTAATCTTGATATATTACCTCCTTACTAACAAGTCCTTGGCAGCATGATAAAGCATCAAGAAGCAAACTAGTCATTTTATTTTATAGATGCCTACATTCATAGAAATGATGTGGTGGGTGCTTGCCACATACATCTAGGGCTCATGTCAAATTTAATAAACGAAAGACCAATTACTGGGGGCTTCAACTCAGAATAATGCATGGCAAGCAACCACCTAAGAATCATTACAATTCATCTTAACAAAAAAAAGGAGCACTTTTACACGATATGTTTGACTTGAGAAGAACTATTTCTCTGTTAACAAGTTATCTGCAGTATGAAAATTTCTAGAGAAAGGAACAGTATAACTTTGAATCATCATAAAACGAGGAAGAATATGAGGAAGAGTTTATGCACCTAAGGAAGAAGGTTTTTGTTAAGTACAAGGGGGCTATTTTTGAGAACCAGCCTCAGAATATATGATAAGTGAACAATTTAAGTAATGCAAAGTATATAAAAGTGGATCTAAATGAGCTTCTCTCAATATGCCGTAACAAAGGAATGATGCGCATGCCAAGCTGAAATAGCACTCTGAAAAGCGAGAACTCAGCAAGCAATATTTGGCTTGGCGGTCTTTTTAGACATGCTTTACTCTAGTATAGATAACTCTTTTCTATGAAAAAGACTAACCTTGACCTTTCTTCTTTAAGCTTAATTAGCTAGCACCCTTGTTTCTACAACAGCAACCAACAAGCACAGTGCATACATAATACCCTGTTTTTCTCAACAATTAATGTGTCCTTATCTTTTCTAATAAGAAAATCTCTTATAAAAAGGCATGGCTGGGGATATGGAGGACTGATTAATTCCTCCACAAGAAAAATCCCTTATGCTGCCGGTGGATTCTAATATCCTCTCTTCTTTTGTAAAAAGTATATTTTTTTGGAAAGCATAACTTTTGCATAAGTGATTAATAATTGAAAGTGAGCCGTTGATTGTGCAGTTTAAAATTGGATGGCTAAGATTAAATATTGAAAAGGTAAACAAATGCGGATAGGAATGAATAGTGAGCAGGATGAAGAGGGTTAATAACGTAAATGTGATAAGTTGTGTACATAAAATTTGATTAACATGATGCGCCCCATACAGTCGATGTAGATATGGTTAACACGACACAGTAAGGAAGTAATTGTCAATAAGAGACATGACCTTTGAACCCAATTAATCTAAATACAATAGATGTGCAATGTGAAAACTGTGTTAACACAGAACCGATACAAATAGAGTGCATGCGCAATATGTAAAAGGTGCTTCTGAAATGACATCAGTTGTAGCACACAACCGATGCAAAAAGAGGGCATACACAATATATAAAAGGTGGCCACATAATGATATCATTTTTACTATACAGTCGATGCAAATGTAGACAACGTAGAATATATAGAAGGTGCTTCTGTTATGACATCAGTTGTAGCACGAAGTCGAAAGGATAAAAAAGAAAGCGGGCATGAGGAGGGGAACAGACATATAAATAGAACAGCCAGATAGCAGGAAGAAAAGAGACAATGGACATTAGAATAAAAATACACAGCCTGCTTGAACTGATAGCTATTGTGAATCAAGCTTGAGAAAAGATAGTGCCTTGTTCACTCAGAGTTCTTTCTGAAACAGAAGAGAATGCCCCTACTAAAGCATAAAGCACCAACTTATTCCACAAAGAGCGGAAAGAGCATCAGTTATTTCTTCAATACATAATCTCTTGATCACTGACCTACCAGAGTATAAGAAAGAACGGAAAGAAGCAAAAACCGCACCAATCACAGCTTCTTCACCAAGACGTGTGAACAGCGCCTTGAGTAGCCTATATGAAGTAGCGAAATCGGCCTTACTTATAATCGGGAATCAGAACAGGCAACTATGAGACAACTTTCTCATTGTCCCGACAAAGTTACTGCATACCTGAGAATGATTTAAACACAGCGGGAGTGGACGGAAAAATCTATAAGGAAGCCATTGAAATATGAGTAAAGTAGAAGGTGGTTGGATAATGACATCTGTTATGCCATTATTTCAAATTTCAAAATGGGTTGTCACTTCTACATCGGTTGAATTAGATGACCGATGCAATATTCCTTTACAAAGTATATCTATATGGGTTTTGTCATATAACAGATGTAAAAAGTGGCCACATCAAGCCAACACAAGTGGTTGCCTGATGACATCGGACTTACCACAAAACCGATGCAAATGGAGTCCTTCACAAAGTATATTTACATGGGTTCTCTCATATAACCGATGCAAATACAGTCCATGAACATAATCTATAACATAGTTGCCACAAAACTGATGCAAATTGATTACGATCGTCACCTAATGATATTGGTTTTATAACAACCGATGCAAATCCCGCTCCTATTTCTTTCACGTATATATTCTACCCTTTCATTTTCACAACAAAAGTGGTAAACAAATTCTTCATATCACACTAATAAATATGGGTTCTTCTATATGTGGGTTATTGCACAAACTGATGTTCACGTTTGACTTTCTGTAATATTGCCTATAATTCCAAATTGAATTATTTTATAACTTCCATCATTCCATCTACAATCTGTATCTTAAAGGTTGATATAGCAGAAAATATGTATGCGTTTCACCACAAACACCATCAAATATTATATATGTCTTTCACAGATGAAAGATAAAAGTGCAACTAAAATAAAATATATCACTGTTAAATGTAAGCCTCAAAAGATAATTCTGATACAGTTCCACGTTTGCCAGAAAATCAAATGGGACATAATGCGACCCAGTTCCATAATTATGTTGCGATGCGAAAAATTAAAATAACAACATGAGCAACAAGAAGAAAACGTACAAAACACGAAGAAAGAATAAAACCACGAAATTACCAATGTATCCTTTCAGAAATCTAACTTGAATAATCGATATCCTATAATTCATTCTTAACCATTCGATTAAAATCAACGGTTCATAATACATGATAGCTTTTGCAAAAGATTTCTTTTCTTTACTTTTTACAAAAGAAGGGAGGATATTAGAAGCCGCCTATGCTGCCAATGAGTTCCTATTTGTCTTTCATTTCATAATCTAACAAACTGTAGAATCTTTATGTAAAGTATGGACATCAGAAGAAAAAGGAAACTACAATTATCCAATGTATTTAAGCATATATATTAAATTGATATTGGGCATAACTACACGTGCCAGTATTACTACAAATACACCTTTGCAAGATAAGGGCCTTCAAGGCAAAGGAGTCATCCCATGTTATGTACAAAATGTAGATTCTACAGGATTTTTTGCTTATGTTCATAACATTGTGAACAGAAACTACATTCAGCTGTGAGCTTGACTTGGTGCTACTGCAAATCAAGTTATCATGATACAAACAAAGCTAGAGGAAAATTCTGAATGGGTAGGATGAGAAATTTATTTGAGGGGAAAAGTTAAAAATTTGAATAAATATGAAAAAGTCAAGTTTTAAAAATTTGGGGAGGACATGGCCCCTTTAGGCATCAAAAGGTGACACCTTTATCCTGAATTCTGCTTAGTTTGTCAATCAGTTTCCCTTTCCTTTCAACTAACATTCTTTAAAAGCTTGTGGAATTATTTTCAAAAAATAAAATATTCAAATTTGATTATACAGGTAAAATGAAAAGTTTTTAGAAAATACTACTTTAAGCAATTTATTTTGTCTCCTTATAAACTAAATACAAGGATGATCCTTAGCATACATCTTGAGGAAAGGTTGCATAACTCCCCATCCCCCACTATGGAGATCTTCAAGCACTGGTCCACCACTGTTATTATAATCTGAACATCTAAAATAAAGAATCCAACATTGTCTTCGGAAAGGGGTAGCTACAAAAACTTTTGCATCTGAGATCAATCAGTGCCTTTTGCATTTCACTTTTGAGAAATAACACATTAAAAATTGGAGGATAGGGGGATAGGAAGTGACCTCTTGTGTTTTCTGATGAAGTTATAGGATATCCTGCATGAGAATGAGAATGAGCAGGAGCTGGAGCATTGATTGGTGAAGGACTGTCATGAACAGATTTTTAGCATAAGGACAAAGTATTAGCAATAAGGCATTCTGAGCACTTCAATTTGAGATTTCTTTCTAACTCAACAAATAGACTATAACTAATAATTTATTACACTGATGTTGATACTAATATGTCCCCCACGCATATTAGTACTAATTTAGATTCAGTAATCACAATTGGACAGCATTAGCAAAGCACAGACAAGAATATACGCAAAATTTATCTCGTGAAACTTCAAAAAATATCCAAATAAACTACAATTTATCAATAAGTAAAAGGAGGAAACACCTGGATGGGAAGCTTCCTTTGACCGAGAGATAGCATTTCCAATAGCACAAAGTTGATTTATGAGTTGCCTTCTTTGTACCCCCTTTATATGCCCTTGCAATAAACTCTTCACTTCTTTTTCTGCAAGCAATGCCCCTCAATGTGATAAATATTCTAGAACACACACTAATGGTAACCACTGGGCAATTCATTGCTAGTGTACACCATAAACATTAATAGTGTGAAATATGTGACTTACTTCTTATCAAAATTTGACAACCATTTGATATAAGCAGCACCAAAATATACATTTATGAAGGGTTTGAACAAGAGTTCTATATTCTCTTGTGCTGCATATGAATGATAACCTAACTCACTGCAAGCTGCAGTTAACCTTAGTGAACCATAATCGTGAAACAAGGCACATTAAATAAGGTGTCACATATAGCCAGTACCTCATCAACCACTCAGCAGTTTTGGGTAGGAGTTGCATAAGCCCCACATTAGGCTCTTTAGATTTATGGCCGGAGTTCATAACAAGTAGTTTCCTATCACTTCCAATTTCAGCAATAGCACAGATCATGCCCTGCAGCAAGAATAGAAGGCCCACCTTATAAACTAAGATGATCCTGATACTCTTAACATTTGAAATTATTTATTTTAATCATGGAAGTAGTACAAACTTTTAAGAGTCTAAACAAAAGAAAGGTGAGTGTTATGATCGCATTATTTGTGTTTGCCAATTCCACCCTTCATCATGGAATAAAATCTATTTGCTTTAGACCTCTTCCCTGAAGTACTTTCCTTCAAGGAATATGAAATTCTGTCAAAGAATAACAGGCTGAAGCTCATTCTTATGATCTATACTCAGTAGCAGAATAAATTCTTCTACCACATTCTTCCTTTATACCCCTTCTCAGCTTGGTAAGATTAAGTTGTTGAGTGCCTAACCTATATTTGGAACGACAAAATGAAGAAATAATATGATAAAATTTAAACTAAAAGAAGTCATACAGGATCTATCTCTGAAGGAAAGTGCCTGCTAATAACAATATCAGCTACAGCCTGAAAATACACAAAACGACTTAAAGTAAGAAAAACAAGCGAATCAACAATCATCATCTAGCAACATATTTTGAATCTATCGTACACATTTAATGCAATTAATAACCTATCCAACATAAAGAACAGAAACTTACAAAGTAGCTTTTGAGAGATTTACCAAAATCTTAATACTTGGGTTTATTATAAGTAGAAGCCAACCACCTAGAAATTCAAAATCCTTAAGATAGAGCAACGTTTACCCTCATTTCAGTCTGTGTTAAATATGGTTGCCCATCAGGATCACGTGAGAGGTGAACCTTTCGACATCTCTCCTCTCCAGCTTTCAGCCATTCAGCACTCACTTCGGGTACATTCCACATTGCCTCCAAATCCTGTGGGTCAACACAATCATCCCAATAGCTGAAGGTGATGGCCATCCTAAAAGATAAAACTAATGAATGAATCAAATGCTGATACCAAAAATAAATTTAAAAAAGCCAAAAAAAGTGAAGAGAATAATATTGTCATTAGTTCATTATTATTTGTGTTAACATTGACAAAATCCATGATTCCATTGGCTAATTTGGAGACACTAGGAACTGCCAGAAGATAAATAACACAAAGCTTATTCATGAACTTCAAAGTTAAAATTTGCTTATTTGATAGTAGTCAGAAACAAGAAAAATTAAAAGTTAAAATACATGTTCAACATCTTTCGTTATCCATTTTCACATAAGGAACCAAACAAAGCCACATATCAGTCTCAGTGATCATTATAAATCAAACATTGAGAAATATCCATATATTTATTATAAATTCTAGATATATATTCCTATGCTGCGTAGTTTCTGAAAAATGTCACACTATTTTTATGAATAAATGGGAAACAAAGGGGAAAAAGATCATAACGTAGGGGAAAACTAATGAATGAACAGACATTCACATTATACTCAAATTAACTTGTTTTTGAAAACATGGCAAATATTTATTTTGTCATTTAGAAATTGGGAAGGAAAACAAGAATGTGGAAGGGAACAAAAAACACTTATACAAGTGATATCATGAATGGCCCTCAAATTTAACTAACAGCGGAAATCAAGCTCACATAGTTACACCCTTTCATGTGTGATGAATCTGCCTAACAGTAACCTCTGAACTTCAATTAACTAGCCAATAATTTGTGGTGGAAAAGAAATTTTTAGTGGCAAGGTGAATGTGATAGAAGAGAGAGAAACGGAAAGACAACAAAATAAAAAACTTGATACATTGTTAAGATAATAAAATCTCACGTTGGCGAGTTAGAAACAAATCAAAGAAAATGCTAGCAAGAGGATCATGACTCTAAATTGCCAAAGGCATTTTAGAGAAGTAGATCACTCAAGCTTATAATCCACTCTTATCTCTAATCTTAGATCAGGTCCACATGCAAAAATACCAATATAAGTAATCAATTCCAATATTCATCATGTGAAAGCACAAGCTCTCGATTATAGATTGTCCAAGGCAAATAGACAAATAGCTCAGTCTCACCTCATCATGTGAAAGCACAAGCTCTGTATTCAAAATGGAAAATTCATATAAAAATAAAGTATTCTCAAGTATATTGTTCAAGTAATATCCTTGTTGAATGAGTTTGGGCTTAGTAGTTATTGGAATTGAATTGAGAAATAACATATTCTATCCGTATTAGAAAGCAAAGCAGGATAGAGATAAAAAGGAGAATTAAATAGAAGAGTAATACTAACACACTTAGTTATTAATTAAAATTTATTAAAAATATAAAAATTATGGTGATTTTATTTATTTTCACTCCTAATTTTTTTTTATATTTATAATTTTTAAAAAATTTTAACCATAACTAAAAATGTGTTAGAAAGTGTATGCTAATACTCCTCTAAATATCACATGATTAAATATGGAATATTTATAAAGCATTTTAAATATGCAAACAAAACAAGTTCATCAATTTTCATAGAGAAAAGAAATGCAACTGAATGAAAGTCAGAAAACAGAGCAGAGTTTATGTGAAGAAGCCATGGTCAACCCATACATTGAAAATTGAATGATTTCAGTGTCTCTTTCTTTTATAGATTTGGCAGAACTAATTTGAATTATTAAACATAATTAGAATATGTACTCAAATTAATCTCAAGCATAAATTTTACATTGAAAAGGCACTTCACGGCCTGAAAAATTGATTATTATTGTAAACCAAACAAACAGGCTCTAAATCTTGTTACTCAGAATTTAGGCCTTTCACGATGGACATTTGTGACACCATGTTGGAAAAAGGAAATCATATAAACACCCGTATATTTGTACCCAAACTCATAATTCAAAGACACTCATGTCCCAAATTCTCCAAAAACACAAAATAATTATGTTATTTTCTGATGTCACAAGGATCTCATTCGAACAAATACCCATTTGCCACAAGTATAACGCAACAACATTTTCAATTTATTCATGTACCAGAAAACTGAGTGAATAAATAAATAATAATCACATCCATACTTACAAGATAATGGTAAGGTAACAGAAGGTTTTGCAAGAAGATTGGATAAATTTTCCTCCTAAAGTTGATAATTTAAGAATTGGTAACACAAGTTGAACATTTGTTACGAGGATTGAGGTCTGGGAGTATATCTCATTAGGATACTAACAAAATATTTATGCCAATTCTTTTCTGGCAATGATATTTCAGAGAGTGACACTTGGCATACCACGGTGTTCTGATAACGCCTCTCGCCAATGGCATGGGTCTGTAAAAACACCTCATTCATTACTACTTATTTTAAAAAACTCATTTATGAAATCTAATTAGTAAATAAAAAACAAATAATATATATATATATATACATATATATATATAGAAGAATACTTTAATTTTATAAAAAAATAATTTTTTAAAAAATAATTTAAAATATAAAATTACAGGTATTTAAAACTTTCAGATTTAGAAAACTTTATATATTAATTTTTTTATAAAAAAATTGGTGATTTATAAATATTTAAGTATGTATGATATTGATTGAAAAATTTAAGGACTGATAAATAAATTGATAGAAGTAAAATTCACTTATAAATAAAAAAATTGATATATAAAACATGTAATCACACAAAAAGTAAAATATGCACACAAAAAAAATAGAATTGGTAAAATGGGCCAATTTGATGGACTGGGCAAAACAAATCTTTAAATAAGTGTGCTTGACTCTAAAAGATAAGGCCCGATTTTATCTTGAGATATTTTGGTCCGATTCATATAAGTCCGACACTTAATAGTCCTTTAATTGGACTGGCTCATGTGAGTTTGAGCAGTCCGCATATATATATATATATATATATAGAAAGTTTGGGAGGAAATTTTGTTTAATTGTAAATTTATTTACATTTTTGTGATTTTATTATGTGTATAGAAATAAAATATATATATATTATAAAAAAAAAAACACAACTTAAAAATAAAAAATAATGGTCTAATACAAAAATTGGACAAAAACAAATGAGTGGCCTATTAGGCTGTTACAAAAACAACTTAAAATAGCTTGTTACAAATATTGAAAACAGCAACAAAAAAAAAATAGTAACCTATTGTTACAAAAATAATAAAAAATATTGCTTATTACAAAAATGGAGAAAAGAATAAAAAAAAATTTGTTCATACTGTCGAGCTAGCCCGTAAAAGCCCACAACCTGTATAGGATAAGGCTCAAACAATAAAAATGTAAGTTTGTTTTTACCTTAAACTAAATAAGCTCGATTTATTTGAATTTGCTATCCGTATCGAGTATGACTGTTCATTTTAACAGCTCTATTGATAAAATTATGAGTAGAATTTGTTATATATAATTTTTTTTACTGACATAAACTAATTTTTTTCTTGAAAAAAAAATTGTTAAAATTTTAAAGTTAGTACCGGTTTATTTGTGTTTTTCAATAACAAAAATATGTTTAAAATATACAATGATAAACAGGTGTTTATGGAATACTTTTTAAGGTTAAAGAATTTGAAACTAAGAAGTGAAAGAAAAATAGTAATTATTTTAAAAAAAAAAAACATGAAACATAATTATATTCTTTTTAAGATACTTTACTTTTTTCTCATCTTTATTTTTTATCAGAATTTAAGAAATTTTGTCAAAGCCCAAGTCCATCCATTTTGAAAGTAACAAAAATAATTGGCCCAAAAAGAAAGGAATAGTCAATCCCAGTTAGCAATGGTACGCTGCACAGATAATTGATTAATATCTTAAATAAATCACTAACCATATTATCTATTTATATAAAATTAATAATAATTATTATTTACACGTAAAAAAACATAAAATATTTTCTTAATTTATAATATCATAAAAATTACTTTCAGACAATGGTGATGAAAATAATTTTTATTAAATAAAATCAAATTAACTTAATATTAATGTATACATAGTAAAAAATAAAAATATTTATATCAGTATTTTTTGAAGTTTTAAAATTAAAGTGATTGAATTTATTTAAGTTTGGCCAAATTAGTAAAATTAATTTAATTGCGGAAAAATGTGGAGTTTATACGAATTGAATAAAAAATAATTGTATGAATGAATCCCATTTAATTGATTTTCTTGGTGGAGTGAATTTAAACGCAGCTTATGCTTAAAATTAATGAACAAAGCTTATTTTTGTTTTGGAATCACATTCCTTTCCTTGAACTCATGTTGAGGCACACGTGTGGCATCTCAAAGTAGAATCGAGTGCCTGTCTCAGTCCATACATCTCTATCTAAGGGTCAATTTCACGCACCCTCATTTCAACATCAGCTAACCTGCAAAATGATTCATATATACCTAGTAAAAAATATAAATAAGAAATAAAGATAAACAATTTAAAATATTATATAAATCAGACACCATAATCATCATATTATATTTTATGATTTTTTAAACCAGGATCGATAATAAATATTTATGTTTGATAAAATTTTATTAAGAATGAAAATACTATAAAATTTAATATATTAATTATACCAAATATTATATCTTTAATGAAATGATTTAAATTTTTTAACCTATATTCTTATAGACACTTTTAAAGATGCATATATTTTACTCCTTTTGGTTGGTGGGTTGTTGGTAACTCTTGGGGTTAGGAAAGGGAGCATGTGGTGTTCCCTAATTGTCTATAAGATATTGTAGCCATCGTCTCCACCTTGAACCATCCGAACATTTCTTTGGTTTCTTGTTAACACCTACCAAATTATAGTTTTTTTAATAATATCTTTTTTATGCACATTACTCAAGAGGAACACATTTGTATTTTATTAATAATTAATTTGTTCAATAAATTAAAAAGAGTAAATTGGGTTGCATTAACTAGTTTGTTTTTTATTTCATCTAAACTGCTGCTGATAAACCCTTGTCTTTTTAGTTTATTTGTAAACACTAAACAAAATTGAGTACAATTTTTATTTACATAGTAGTATATACTTTATATTTTGACCTTTTTTTATCTTTTGGCTGGCTTAAGAAATAAAGTCAAGAAGAATTTTAGAACAAAAAGGGGCTTAAATTAAAGTAGATACGACATTTGCACACATTTTGGTAGGTTATTATAGTACACATCTTCAAAGCTGTGTTTAAAAAAGGTACACATATCTAGATCCATATTTGTAGGAGTAATGACTATAACTCTTCTTTCCAGATCTTATGTGTATATGGATATTCGTACTCATTACCTATAATTAATTATCGGATTAACAAATGCACTATAATTTTAATGTTTTTCTTTATTGCTATCTTAAATGAACATTGAAAGTAGTAAAATAAGAAAAAGTATATTGACATTTCATGATATGGTGTACTAATAAATCTAAAATAGATAGCTGACAAATAAAATTATAAAGTTGAAATCAAATGAGTACCTATGCTTTTGGAAATTATTTATTTTCATATATTTTTTTCTATCATTTTCTTTAATATTGATTAAAACTTCTTTGTTTATATATTTATATAAATAATTAAAATTTTATCTATAAAACAATATCTAATATTTTAAGCATTTAACCCTGTTATTTATGGACAAACATATTTGCCCATCTACACAATAATTTTTTTAATTATTATTATTATTTGAATTTAATTATACTTTTTGTTTAATTTTAAATGACTTGACTTAAGACTACGTACGAACATTAACTTTGCTATTTTTTAATAAAAAATGATATTCTAATATTTTAAAAAATAATATTAATATAATTATGTTTATTGAAACTCAAACCTAAAATCACAAATTAAGCTGAAGTAACCTGATGCAAATTCATATAACGTCTTTTTAGATATTAACAACATATGTTACTTAAAAATCAAATGAACTAATATAAAATTTTGCCTAAAAAACGTTACAAGTTCTAAATTTTCATTTTTCTTAGAATGAGATAAATATAATTTTTTAATAAATGTTTTTAAAATTTGACAGATTTTTCTGCTTTGAAATAAACATTGTCCCTTCTCAATTTTTTTATTGCTTAAGATTAGTATTATTTAAAGACAATTCTTATCTAAGAGTTGTATAGTAAGAATATAGTAATAAATTAAGCAATGCATATTTTTTAGGTTAATAATTAGAGAATTATTCATTATGTATGAAAAAAATCTTTAGTGAGAGACTCATTCATTATATTTAAATGTGTTACTTTGGTCAGATATAAATTAAATTAAATGAAAAAATAATATAATTAAAAAATTATTCTTATAAAAATAACTATTTTGAATCATTAATAAATTTTAAATCTATAATATAATATAATTATTATGCCCATTAATATATTTGGTCAACTTTTAAGGATACGTTTGGATTTTAGTTATGAATTTTAAAACCATGATATAAGTGTATGAAAAAAATTACGCGTTAGTTAAAAATATCGAGATATTTTTTTTTGTATTTTTTATTCACATTATGATTTAAGGTTTTTTAACGATAATCCAAGCACAAGCTAAGTTGAAATTGTAAGATAATACAAAACTGATTCATTTAATACAAAAATATATTTATTAGAGAAATTTCACAACCTTTCGTGTCAGTAAAGGTGAAATTTCCCAACATGGCCTCGGGCTGGCACGTGCAAGTTAGCACAGAGTATAATTAATAAATCTGATTCTGATTTTATAATCTTTATTTCTTAAATTAAAAAATGTCAACGTCATGTTTTTAATATATTCTTATTTATAACTTTATTATTAATTAAAATTTATAAAATGATATAGACCTCATTAATTATTTAATGTTTTATTCATGATGTTATATTTTCCAAAAAAAAATAATTAATAAGTCCTACGTTCTTTTTCTATCCATTAAATCAGCATACTGCGAATAGAAAAATAGAAGAAAAGGGAAAGTGAACAATTGGGAATATTAAAATCCTCGTATGTTGACAATTTTGGAATTCAATTGTAAGCTAACTTGTATTTTAATTAACACTTTAGACGCCAAACTATTCATTTTTGTCCTTTGAAAGAGAGATAGAGGTAAGTGAGATATTAGATTTAAAATAAAATTTTGTTAACGAGTGTCTGATTAAAAAATTAAAAGCAATTTTTTTTATTAAAAATCATATATTTATTTTAAAAACTACCTTTAATTTCTTAATAAATGTGCTTAATATTTATCATAAAAAATATATGTGTGTTATGGTACTCTTAAAATTATTTATGAGCATCGTACTCAACACATTTAAACCAATAAAAAATAAATGTGTTAAAGTTAAAAAAATTATTATATATAATTTATTTAAAATTATATTATTTATATTATTGTATATATTTGATCTCTTATTTTATTTTTTTATATTTTTATAAATTTTTAGTTTTAAATAAAATATAATAAATATATTTTTATATTCTTAATTCTATTATTATTAATATTTAATTATTATATTAATATATTATATTATAATTATTTTTATTTATAATAAATAAAATTGCTTAAATAGAAATTATATTTTGTTTTAAAAATAAAAAAATGATAAAAAATGATAAAAAATTAAATATACAATATATATATAATAATAATAATAATAATAAGATTATGTAATAAATAATATAATTTTAAATAAATTATATATAATTTTTTTAAAAACTTAACATATATTTATTTTTTATTAGTCTAAATTTTTTGAATAGGATACCCATAAAAATTTGTTAGGGTACCACAGAATTTATCTAAAAATTATTAAAAACTAAAAATTCATGGGTACCAAAAATAATGTTTGTTACGGAATTATAATTTTCTATTATCTTAAATATTAAAAGGTATTTATATTTTTTAAAATAAATTATTAACTTATTATTTCTTAATATAAAATTAAAATGATAAATCAATAACTGTACAGAACGCACGGGTGGAACTTGTGGCAGGATCTAGCCAAAATCAATTTGAAGAACAGAGAAAAACAGAAGATACGATCACAGTGACGTTGAAAGCGGGGACAGGAGAAGCAGCTACAAATCGGAAAAAAAAAAACAACGAGAAAATCGAAAGCATTCACAAAAGGAAAAGGAAAAAATGAAAAGACCTGCGTTTGTCCCGACGTGTCTTTCGAGGAATAGACGCGATAGTCTTTGCCGTTTATCAACTCACGACAAACTCCGTTTATTATCAGAACTTTCATCACTGCCATCACCCTCACTCTATTTGTTAAAGCCTCCACATCATAACCGTCCACTTATGCTGATCCATTATTAATGCAACATTTTAAATTTTTATATGGATTTTTGTTAACGCCAGCGGTTATTGTTGATTTTGAAATCAACACCCAAGTCCAGTGGTTTCCTTCACTCTTTTTATAAGTTTTCCTGACAAATTAAGATAAATTATTAAACATAATTGATATATTAATTTTTGGAAAATTATTCATATTGTTCTAAATTTGTCTTTAATTAAAGTCAAATTCTGTTATTATATTAATTATTAAGAAGTTCAAAATTAACAATAAATAAAAATATGTGAAAAGAATAAATATTTCTAAAATTTAATAAAAATCTTACATTAAGAACTAACAATTTAAAAAAATCTTATAAAAAATTGTACAAGATTTGTTTAAATAACAAATAATTTTACTTAATTAAAGACTATTCAACTAGTCATAAGAGATCTCCTCAGGAATGTTCCTTAAAAAATATATTGAATGAGATTTTGAAATTTTAATTTTATGCCCACAAAAAAATCAAAGTTTTTTTTTTTCAAGTTGTTATCATTTATGCTAACTTGCATTGACAAAAAAAATTATTTTTAAATATCTAAAATGTAGAAAATAAAAAAAGGAGTGAGAACACATGTTTTTTCCGGACGAAGTCATCAGAGAGTCTTGATTTTACATTTTAAAAAATAAATTCTATGATAATAAGAATTCTTTATAATTATTTTATTATTACAAATAATTTTTTAAAATTTATTATTTTTATTAATATGATAATATGTGATTAAATAATATTATAATGATATATTATCATTTCAATAAATTTTAATTAAATTATAATATATTAAATAAATTTTAAAATGTTTTAAAAAAAATTAATTTTATCCCTGGGGAGTCAGAGAAACTCATTAATTATAATTATTTTAAATTTGTATTGTTTTAATCTAACAGGTTGAAGAATGGTGTAGGGTACGGGGCTCATCCGCATAGGATAACCACCCGTCTCCAACAGTGATAATACAGTGACGTTTTAAGGGAAAGAGTAATTGGCAGCATTCCATTTCCATAAGAAGCTCCGCTAGGGAACTGCATATTTAAAAAGAAAACGAGAAAAGAGTGCCATATTCGCGTACTCATTAAATTATTATTCCTTCTTTGCGGTCGTTGGTGCAAAAACCAGAACACAACACTTTCAATTTTCTAGGGTTTTTGCTTCCATCACCTTCTCCAATGGCTGCTTCCTCTCTCCTCAGATCTGCGCTTCTCGCTCCCTCTCGCTCCGACTTCTCACCTTCCTCTTCCGATCGCTTCAAGGTCTCTTCCTTGTTGTGTTCTTCTTTTGCGTCACTGATTCCCTAGCGTTCTTCAGTTTTCACATTTTACATTTTGTTTTCTGTTTTTCCTGCATTTTCTCGAAAAATATATTGGAAAGCTTGACACTGGACTGTGATATGATGTGTTTCGATTCGTGCTCTTTTTTTTTTTTTTTTTTTTGGTTTGGCCCTCGGATTATGAACTTGGTTTTGGATTTGGTTTGGTCACTCTGAAGACCAGCACTTTTTTCTGATTCTCTCACTTTTTCGGTTTAATGGAATTTGTTGTTGCATTTTCTAGGAAAGCAAGCGGAGATTTTGCAGCGTTTTTGTTTTACTTATTTATTTATGTTTTTTTTATTGTTTTGTTTAGCTCTCAAAGTTTGGTTTTGAATTTGGTGGAAACCTCTGGTTGCTTAGAAATCAGGGTAGGAGAGAAAAAGTTATGGCGTTTTTTTTGTTTTTTTTGAAAAATAATTTGCTTGTGAATCTTTGATTGTTAAGAAGAGTTTCCTTCATATAGTTTACACGCTTAATTTTCTGGGCAGTTCTGGGTTAGTGCGTTCATTTGGTTGTGTTTTCTCGATGTTACATCTTGTTAATGTATTTATATGTATGATTCAGGTGTTTTGCGATGCCTCAAGTTGTAGTTTAAAATCTAAGGGATTACAGAACAGCATATTTGGAACTTCAATTCCTTGTGAATCATTAGTCTTTCGGTTGAGTAGCCCAAACTTTTTAATTTAGTGCCCTTCCTGTGCCTGTTTCTGTTCCTTTAATAGTATGTGGTTTTACTATTTGTGGTTTTGATGTATATGTATTTGTATTTGTATTTGAACAGAAACTGCAATGCCCGTAGCATTCAGCCTGTTAAAGCCACAGCAACGGAAATCCCTCTCCCCACACAGAGTAAGAATAGTACTACTATTGTGTTTGGATTTGGGTGATTTGCGAACAATTTTTAGATTCTAACTCATGGCTGATCTTGGTCTGTTTAGAATCAAGGAGCACTGGGAAGACAAGGGTTGGAATAAATGGTAACTATCTTTATGTGAGAGCTCTCTGTTGTGTCTACTTAGAGTATTCTATTTTATTGTACACTTCCAATTTTGCTCCAAATACTTCATCATAGTCAACTAATTACTTTAAACTTCTCCTTCCATTACATTTTCTTTTTCATTTTAACTAGGTTTTATTTAGGATGCATTAGTCACTTTATTTGGAACTCATAGTCAGAATTGCTCAACTTTTTACATTCAAAGTTCAGCATATAACTATGATATGTTTAAAGTTTTTTGGTAAGATTCCTTCAACTTTCTAATTGCTTAGATGAAATTGGTAGCCTCCTCATTACAGGTAATGTTTCATGAATGTAATCAAACATAATAAGAGGATAGTCCTCCTCTGGGGATCACATGGTTTAATTGACTAGAATGTGTATTCTTTAACTTGAGAGAAAGATTTCAAACAGTGTTTTGTGAAATCCATATTTTATGGAAGGATCTGTGCTAAATGTTCACAGGTAGCTTGCATAATCCAATTATGAATGATAAACAAAAGTAGAATATGAGTTTTTCAACTTATGTACTAGTTGGACTTAAGAACTTGCAAATCAGTTTACCTTAGTGAGCCTGAAATAACTATTAAAGAATCTAATGTAATTATGTAGAAAGTGAAAACTTTGTTTTGAAATGTGATTCATAGAATTTTCAGCTTATCTTAAAAAAAAAGTACTTAATGCTGAAATGTGCAGGTTTTGGTAGAATTGGAAGGTTGGTGTTACGTGTTGCTACTTCCCGGGATGATATTGATGTTGTTGCAATTAATGATCCTTTTGTTGATGCCAAATATATGGTATGGACATGCAATACCTTAATGTTTTTGCTTATAGTATATTATGTTCATGGTTTGGATGTTGCACTGATTTAGACTATATTAAATCTGTTTTTTGTTGCATGTGTTTTAATGTATACATACGGTGATATGTACATCTATCTCAATTCTTTGTTGATTTGTCTTTGGTGTTGCCATAACGTTAAAGATTTAAATTTATATTAGTATACTGCCCTGATCTTGGATGCTTACCATGTTCCCCCAGTCTGCAGTGACATGATTTTATGATGTATCTTTTATGCTAATTCAATTAAGATGGGATGTTCTGCAACTATAGTCTATGCTGTTTATGTCTCTTGCCTTTTGTGGTATTGTACATATCTTGGGATTTATTTAGATTATATTGTTTTTCCCTGAAGCCGTCTTTTACCTTACCTGAAGTCATGTCTAACTTCAGAAAGATCCAAATTGATTCTCTTTGCAAAAATATCCCAAACAAAGGAACTTTTTAATATTTCCACAATTATCTTCCTTGTTTTGGTGCATAATAAGGGGACTTTATAAGTTGCCTAAACCTCATCCTTTTATTATGAAAAATAGCAATACTCTTTTAATTAAAATGACATGTAGAATAGTGATAGAGTTTAAGAGTGACAAAGTCTTGCCAGAAGAAGGTTGTGTGACATTTGTTGGTGACACAGACATAGATGCTGATATTTTTCTAGGTTGATGATGGTTTACTTAGAAGAGATAGTTATGATGGTTTTGGACTACATCAAGGGGGCATGTGCACTCAAACTCTTTTATTTATTTGTTTATTTATTGTATTATTATTGTTGTTGCTGTTGTTGTTATTTTATCTTTTTGTTTGAGTGTTTAGATTTTATCATAGAATTCGGTGTGTTTATTGTGATGCACTTGTACTCCAACTTTTCAATGAATCATCTTTTGTTTTGTTTTCTCTAATTGTTTTATGTACTCTTTTTAATTCATTTATTGTGGGATGCTTGGTTTTTGGCCTATGTTCAATTTATGCTCTTTTTAATTGTAGTACTCTATTTATATTATGCAGCATGCTTACATTTTGCTTTATCGTTTAATCTTTTCTCTTGTAGGCTTACATGTTTAAGTATGATTCTACTCACGGTCCATTCAAGGGGACCATTAAAGTTTTGGACGACTCTACTTTGGAAATTAATGGGAAGCAGGTTAAAGTTGTGAGCAAAAGGTATCATGAGTAGAGCTCTAATAATTAAATTGGATGTTAACAATGTTACTGGTGTACATCATTTGCGAAGGTGTTAAAAGAGTGCTAAAAGAACTGGTTTAACATCACAATTATTTTTTTAATGTATTCAGAGATCCTGCGGAGATCCCATGGAGTGATTTTGGGGCTGATTATGTCATTGAGTCTTCAGGAGTTTTTACAACATTGGACAAAGCTTCATCACATTTGAAGGTATTTCAATTACCTGTGTATTTAAGTTGTATTCCTCTCTCTCTCGTTTATCTCTTCTTCCCCTTTGTCTTACTTTCTCCTGCTTCAAATCTTAATTCTATCCTTTTCTTTTTACACTGTAGGGTGGTGCCAAGAAAGTTGTAATATCAGCTCCATCTGCTGATGCACCAATGTTTGTGGTAGGAGTTAACGAGAAGACGTACAATCCAAACATGGACATTGTTTCCAATGCAAGCTGTACAACTAACTGTCTTGCTCCTCTTGCCAAGGTTTGATTGCATTGTATAGTTCCAGACTTTATTGAACTGAAGCCTTTCTCTATAATGAGAATACTTAATGTCTTAGTGACTTAGTGTATAGTTTGATGGTGTTAAAGCCTGTTAACTTAAAGGTTTAATGGCAGCTCCTCTTCCTTAAAGGGCAAGGAAAATTACATGGCTAAAAAAATCTTACTGCTTTTGAAACAAATCCTTGAAGGGGGGCCCCTGGTAACTTTATATGATGTGTCTATATAATAAGACATGAAATATACTGTTTTGCTCTATTAATTACATTGCCACACTTTTCCTCTTGACCATTCTTTTCTTCTGCGATAGATCCTGGATTAATTTTTGCCAGGAGGTGTGATAAAACCAAAACTGAGCTAATAGGATCATAAAATTCATAGAAAATTAGTTCATTATCAAGAATCAATAATATCTCTTGAAATATATGGAATCAAATTATTAGAGAGAAACTGACTTAATGGAGTTAATGCTGGTCTATCTGAATTTGTAAGCCATTTTCCAAAAAATGTGGCTCATCTGTCCCATATTTCCTATTGGAAACTTGTGTAGATCTCTAACCATGTTTAAATTGTTCAACAGGTGGTTCATGAAGAGTTTGGTATAGTTGAAGGTTTGATGACAACTGTGCATGCAACAACAGGTCTCTTTTGCAAACTTGTTAATTATATTCTCTGATTTCTTTTACTTGTGGATTTTAAGCATCCATATATGTTCACATCTGGCATTGAATACATACATTTTTTTTTCTTTGCTCAGCAACACAAAAGACTGTAGATGGCCCTTCTATGAAGGATTGGCGAGGGGGAAGAGGGGCTGGTCAAAATATAATTCCAAGTTCAACTGGTGCTGCAAAGGTAAGAGACAAATGAACACAGATTTTATGCTTACTATTTTCCATATAGATAGGTTTATGAAATTGGTTTGTTATGTTAAACCACAGGCTGTTGGGAAAGTTCTTCCTGATCTAAATGGAAAACTCACTGGGATGGCATTCCGTGTGCCTACTCCTAATGTTTCTGTTGTAGACTTGACATGTCGGCTTAAGAAGAATGCTTCCTATGAAGATGTTAAAGCAGCAATAAAGTATGTCTACTGCAGTTTTGCTCTGGCTTTTATATCCTTGTTTGGATTGTTCTGTAATAAACCTTTGGTTGATTTCTATGTCTTTTCTATGGTGAACAATGAAGGTATGCTTCAGAGGGACCTTTGAAAGGAATTCTTGGGTACATAGAAGAGGATGTTGTCTCCAATGACTTTGTTGGTGATTCAAGGTGAATTATAGTTTGTTATTTTACCTTTAAAATTAGAACTTCGGTGAATTATTTTTCTGGTTGGAAAGTTATAAACTCATGATCATGAGAAAGGTTGTTTAAATTGAGTTCCAAGGTTGGAAGGGGGTCTTGGATCATAGGATCAGTGGATCTTAACATGACTTGTTAAGAGTCAACTAGAATATAGGAATATATTTAAATGCATATCTATATGAACTGAAAATAGCATAGTTTAAACTTAAACTAGAATGCAGAAATATATTTAATTACATATCTATATTTAAATAGATATTTAAAATACATACACACCTAGGATTTAATTAAACTTAAACTAAAGTTTTTGACAAAATAAAAGCAACGCATAATAAAACTAAAGCATCAGAGAAAATAGTCCAACACTTTAACCTATACATCTAACAAATCATTCAAGTTCTTATCACAATAATCATTCTCCATGTTGTCTTAGTCTTGCATCATCTTCCACATTTCATAACATGTTCACCCTCAACAATCTCAAGCTCATTGAAATTAGGAATCTCCAAATCATCAAGAGATGCCATGGCAACATAACCATCAACATCTTTTTTCATTGGAAGCAGGTCTTCTTTGTTTGGAAGATCAAAATCCATATCCAAATCCCAAGTTTCAACACTCCACTATCCAATCATAATTAGAATAAAGATTTTCCAGATCATATTCATTTGCTTTCCTAGCTTTTTCTTGTCCAATTTAGAATTGGTCACCCAGAAGACAAAGGACTTTCTCTTCTTAAAAAAGACTTAATGTTTTAAAAATGTTTACGTCCTTTTTTTGCCCTTAAAATGACCCTGTTTTTAGTATTTTCAAGGGTAAAATAGTCTTTTTCCTCAATTTTCAGAACATGACCTAATCCCACATTTTCCTTCCTCTCTTCTCTCTTTGATGCTCCCTTCTCTTATCTCCATCTCCGTCTCTGTTTTTAGCGGGCATGTCTCTGTCTTTGTTTTGAGGGTGGCTCCTTTCTCTCTTCTCTGTCTCTGTTTTACAACAATTGGAAATACATGACCTAACCCCACTTTTTGGCCACATTTTTCTTCTCCCTCCTCTCATCTCTCATCTCGGTCTTTGTTCCGCTGCCATAAAATTATGGCGGATGCCATGGCAGTCAAAATATGTATATGTATATATATATAATATTCATCATATTGAATATCAACTGCCTTTTAGTTTGCTGTATTGTGTTTGACATTATGTACTGTATTTCTTTACAAACTATCTTAACAATGTCCTTTATCATCTTAAACACCTTATCAACTCTTCTAGAGATGTGATAAGTGTCAATAGTTTAGTACAAGCTTCCTTCTAAAATAAAGTTCTTTTAGGACTATTTATCAAGAAGTTTAGTATGGTCTTCCTTCTCTTGTTAATCCACCCATCTGTCATAATGGGCATCTTGTTTTCATCTAATAAACTTTATGTTCCTCCAAAGCTTGTTTGGTAGATTCAACCTTTAGTTTCAAATATTTGGCTCCAATCTGATGGTGGTAGTAAGGTGGTTTAAATCCTTGACTAGCAACTAATCCAAGCATCATAAATTCCTCACTGGTTGCTACATTGAAAGGAATAGCATTGTTGTGTAAACAGAAGGCGGCAATTCCTTGGCATGGTTCCACTTTCAAGCAACAGTTTTCTTTGAAATATTTACAATGGTCTCTTTTTCCTTTTTTTTTTTTCCCTCTCGTTCAGCATCAACGTTACTTGCTTGTCTTATATGTTCCTTTGACTTTATCAAACTTCCATGCAATGAGGGGATACAATTGCCCACATTTCCTTTTGAACTTCACTACTAACATCCTTTTGGGTTCTAGCCAAATAATTCTTCAAGCTGTAAATCCCTTTCCATTGATGACCTCACAATATTTGCACTTAATTTTTCTTATTCTCCATGTTTTCATCCCACATCAGTATATTTTAGCTTTTTTTCACTGCCACTAACCCAACTAGAAACAGCCTTATTAATTCTGCCAACAATACCACCATTACAATCTGTTGCAGTCTTTGTTAACCCAAAAAACAGAAGTACACAAACATGACCACAGCAAAGTGAGGGAATAATACAGCAAGCCTGAATGCAGCAACAATAGAGAACACAACAACAAACAGGGAGGGAGAAGCAGAACACAAACCACAAGTTGCAGTACGCCAGGAACGCTGAACTAATTGGATTTTCATAAGAGTGTTAGGGGAAAGGGTTTCCTTGGGTATAATCCATGTACAGACGACAGAGGGAGAAGTGAAGTCTTTTAAATCAAGCTGCCTGAAAATTAGGGACTTTTAAAAAATGGGTCCGCAACCTGACTGCTTCAGATGTGGATTCGTTTGGAGCATGCTGCTCCAATGATTCACGCATTGATCCGGTGCTCCAGTCCAATTCCGTAGGGAAACTGTGCCAGAGTGGTGCGCCACTTGCGAAAGGGATAAAAAAACATTGAGTTGTGTGATTCAATGCACCATAGCATGTGCATAACACATTTACTTCCACTTGTGCTAAAACAGATTTTTAATTTGCATTAAGATAAAATAAATTAGACCTGAACCTTCATTTATCTTTTCCTTTGCTGTTAGAATTTTCTTGTTAACATCTTCAATTTAAAACGTTCCTTTTTGACAGGTCAAGTATCTTTGATGCGAAGGCTGGCATTGCGCTCAGTGCTTACTTTGTTAAGCTTGTTTCGTGGTATGACAACGAGTGGGGTTACAGGTATGTGTTGCATATATAAACTAATACATGCAAGCACAGACAAGTAGGGCATTTTTAGAAGCAGAACTTGATGCTGATCCCTTTCTTTTTTTTTGAACCATCTGCGTTGCAGCAACCGAGTGTTGGACCTTATAGAGCACATGGCACTGGTGGGAGCTCAAAATTGAACACCAATGTTGCGTCCATTGTTGCTGATGTTGAAATTCTTGTTGAGTTAGGTTAAATGTTAGTAACTGCTTAGGTTTTCAGATTTTGGTTTTGATCTGATTTTGATAAGATGTGAGGTTAAATGATCTCATCATGTACACTGAAAATAAAATGATAAAGGACATTCTAATAGTTACACAATTTGGAATTATCAGGAATGAATTTTACATCCCTTTAAAACGCTCGACATTTTAAGGGTATAAACGCAAAAGCTCCTTTTAAGAACAATTCAATACCATCACCGAAGAAAAGGAAAAACTGTCTCGTTTAGTTTTTTTTTTTTAATAATACCGCTGTTTTGTAATATATTATATATACCAAGATCACTAACCAGCTCTTGTATGTATAGCTGTTCCATTCAATATTAAATTTTGAATTTAAAAATCTTGCTTTTAATGACCTTTTGAATGTGAGATTTGAATTTTTGAATTTTTTTTTTCCTTTATGTATTTTTGGATAAGGTGTACAACTTATTTTGTTTTAAGAGTTTTAATTAGAAGGATTAAGGAATTTATTTTTCTAAAATAATTTTCTAATCGTTTTGGGTATCTGTAAGAGTTTGGCAAATTACTATAATGATGAAAATTCAGATTTCAATGAAAAATATGCAACTTTGGTTAATTGAAAACATTTAAAATTTGACAGCCATGGACCGTGGGTGTTATTCCGATTTTGATGGTGAATATTCTGTTATTTCTTATTCTCGTTCCAAATGAGTGGATCCTATTTATGAATTTTATTGAAATTGGGAGTTTGGGCCAATCTCGTGGGGAATTAAGGAGTGGATTGATGCAAATTTATTCTGGTAAATTCTTAAATTAGTTTTTAAAATTGTAAGTATTGGATAAATTAGTCTTTAACTTAGCCAATTGTCAAATACTTTAGTTTAACTAATAATTAGTCAAATGTTCACTTTAGTTTAACTAATAATTTTTCTTATAATGTTCTTAGTTGCCACTGCTATTGAACTTGCCACTGTGACCTTTTTATTCATCATCGTTGCCTTTCCTTCCTCCTTTTGTTACTTTGTTTGCGTTCTTCATAACACTTGTTTTTTGGTTCACCAAAGAAAGATATTGCGGTGGGGGCAACTTTGCCTTCGCCATAGGCTTCTTCTTTGTTGGCAAATTGAATGTTGGTGGCTAAAAGGGAGTTTCGAATGGGAGCAGTTTCCAAAGTGACACTAACAAAGAAGTTGATTATTATGATTGGGACTATTTAAGATTCTGAAGAAGAGGTTGCCACCAGTGAAACGGCGTTGAAATGCAATTTTGATTAGTGGAGGAAAATGATATGAGAAATAACATTGTTTTGGTTATCTAATGTGACACATCATTAATTGAATTTTAATCGTAATTCAATGATCATTAATTGAATTTCATTCAAATTCACGTAAGAAGTTAAAGCAACCTAAATGTGATTTTTAATGCTAAATCTAATATGCATGGAGGGGTAGTGGCGGACCACCGTGAACAGTGTCAATTTGAGGAGGGAAAAAGAGAGTGGAAGTTAGATGTCAAACAATGTCGTATTAGCTTTTACGTGTCATTTAACGGTAAACATTAATATTTTTCATGCGTATATTAATGATAGAAACTTAAATGCATTATAGACTAATATGGAAGCAATTTAAATAAATAAAATACTAATATACATTACTATTGTCTGAGAGACTAGTTTGAAAGTGTACTCTTAAAATATAATTTATCAAATACTTTTGTTACAGAGGGTACTAGAATTTTATCTTTACCATAATTGAAGGATAAATTGTTACAAAAATTGAGTAATTCTTTTCACATAACCTTGTGCGAATCGTACTTCTATTCCATTAATTTTATTACACTAGTAAAATATGATTTTATTTCTAAAAATATATTAATATTTACTTTTAATTTTCTATTTTTTTTTGTTGGTTCTGATCCTTATGTATTTTAAAAATAATCTCTATCATTATGTATTAAAATAAACATATCTAAATATATTCCATCACCTGTAAGTCGAAACAATTATTAATGTAATATATTTAAATGCGTGATCCTCATTTTATAAAAACTCAAGACCCTGCAAATCCCCTCCTATGAAAACTCAACACCCTCATTTTATGTGATAATACATGTTCTGTTTGTCTTAGTTAACCTATTAATTTATTATTCAGAACAATTTTGTCAGAACTAGAAAATGATGACTTACGGATTTTTTTTGTTTGCACAATTATGAAGATAGATATTTTATTTTCTCTGCCTTCTGGGTTAAGTTTGTATAAAGATTTACAAGCTTCTTATGCATTGCACGATCATTTCTTAAATTTAAATAAAATTTATAAAGAAAAATTAAAAAAATATTTTATTACTTCAAATAAAATTTAAAATGTATAAAAAAATATAGAAGTAAATTAATAAAATTAAGTTGTATTATATTCACTTATATAATAATGTATTAAAAATCAATTTGCAAATCAAATTTGTCAATTAAGAATAAATTTTAGAATTAAAATAATTTAAAATTGGTTTACTTTTAGAAAAGGTATCTACAATTTGGTACTATATGCCAAAATTTTAAATAAATTTTAAAATAATATAAAAAATAAAATATTAGCAAAAAATAAAATTAAATAATTATCACATTACTTAATAAGGGTAAGATATAACTCCTAAAAGTACTTTTTTTTTTTTCTGTAAAACGATAACTTTGAAAAAAATATTGAAAGAATTCAAATTTATAATCAAAGATAGGTTGAAAAGAAAATAACAAATGTAATAAAGTAACACTTGTGATAGGTAAATAAAGTATTTTTGCAATATCTTTTATATTTATTTATTATCTTAGAAATATAAAATAATTGAATATTTTTTAATGTTTACTTAAGGTTACATGTTAACAATAACATTCAATATATCTCTTAAATATTTTAAATTATCATAAAAATATATCTTTGAATATCTTTTATGATTTTGAGATAATAAATTTATTTAACTTTATTAAAAATTTGGTTAAATTAATAGATTGGTTTCTTAATTCCTGTGTTTGTTTCAACTTTAACTAATAACTTCTTTTATATATATATATATATATAGGTTTCATATGTTTACATCTATTTTAATTTAGTCCTCTCCATTAAACATGACTGATGATGTTATTAACTTTGTTGATGTGTAATTAGAAGTTGAATAATATAATATTATGTGATTTTTTTCAAAGTGACGTGTTTCTTGTCTCCACACAGATGTACAAAAGGAGTACATATTGAAAGAAGAAAGAATCACAGAGTTCTTCATCATTCTTTGACAAGATTGTATAAAATATCTTGTGAAATTATTGAAGAACATTAATTAAAAAAATCATTGAAGTGGATGAAAATATTAATTATATTGAGGTTGTTTGGAAGAACAAGTGCTAAACTACTTACTATTATGAAAAAACTTATGACAATAACTTTGACAACAATAGCAAAAGTAGTGAAAGCAACAAAGCTGAAGGGGTCAAAAACCATACTCATGGCATAGGCACTAACAACAATAGCCCTTCCAAGCATGGTGATGCTAACAAGAACATAATTGAAAGGTAGGGGCGCCTGAATATACTTCCAAAAGGAGTAAAAATAACTCTAATCTCCAAAGTAATGACAAGGAAGACCAAGGCAACAACACCATTAATAGCACAAATATTGGGAACATAGTTAGAATTGTTAGTGAGCCACTAGAGCATGGCCATGATGGAGGCATAAAGTTAAAAGAAGAAGGAAACAAAAAAGAGGAAGGACAAGTCGTAAAAGGAAGTTGGGAAAGAGAGAACAAAGAAGAAATAAAAAGCAAGGTGAAAAAGTAGAGAAAGGAAGAGAAAATGGAACGTGGATACATGAGTACTAAGAATGAAACTATCATATGAAATCTCTCTGGGATACCTTGATTCGTGTCTCTCTTTGAAGGAGAAAATGTGAGGGAGAAAGAAGAGCTAGTAAGAGAAGTACTTGAAGACTAAGAAATAGTAGGTTGAGTTGTTGATTTGTACGTGCAAGTGAAGATGGAAGGAGTAGAGATTATAATTTTAGAAATCTTAAATTTTCAAATGTAATTTTACTTTTCATTTAAAAATTTAATTTTGTCATTATTAAGTTAGATATTCATTATATTACTAACTTAAACACAACTTAGTTAAAATTAACATCATCAATGTAAGATACAGTTAAAACATTATTAACAGTAGTTACCTACTTAAAAAAAATTAACTTGAAACAGATATAGAACATATTAGACATATATGAAAAAAAAAGTTATTGGCCAAAGTCAAAACACAATAATTAAAGGACCAATCTACTAAATTATAATTTTTGAAAAAAAAAATTTAATGTGTTTTTAGACACATTATATGAACACTCATTAAAAAAAAATTAAATTATACTTTTCATTTTTTAAAGTTAGGTGAAATTTTAATTTAATTTTTTAACTTTATTTTTATTTAATTTAGTCTTTTATGTTTGATTTAAATTTCACCTAGGTCCTTTAATTTTTCAATTCAAGTTAGCCCTCTAAATTCTTTTTTTTTTTCCTAATATTTTCTTCTAACTCTACTCCATCTTTCAGTTTTTAATAATTTAGAGGATGTTTTAATGTTTGATATATATATATGCGTTAACAATAAAGATGATTAACAATTAAAATAATAAATATATAAAATTTGATGAATAATGATGGTTTGACAATGACCATTAAATATATAAAACAGAGAAAAAGAAAAAATAAATTAGTTGATAATAAATTACCATGATTAAATAATTTTTTAATATTGATTTGAAAGTTTTAGATGATAATTTTAAAATAAAATACATAAAAATTGTAAAATAAGAAAAAAATGTTCAAGAAGGCTGTGATTTTAAATTTTTGATTAAATTAAAAGACAAAATAATGTTAAATGATTATTTTATTTGAAAATAATAACTTATGGGTAACTAAATAAAAAAAAATTGAAAGATTAAAGTGAAACTTAAATTTAGATGATTAAATTGAATAAAAATAAATAAAAATAGAAGAACACATACAATTTCGGTTAAGCCAAAGGATGAAAAATTTAATTTAACTGTAAAAAATTAATTCTTCATCTTGTAATTTGGAAAACTTATAGAAATAATGAAGAGAATTTATAACTACTGTATCTTCCTACATATTTTATTAATTACATATATACATGTATTTATTATTTTAAAAATATAAAATATATTATTATTAATTGTTTAATAAGTAGAAAGATTAGAAAAATAAAAATTACGAGAAATTGATAGATAGATAGAACATGTGATATATGGAGGTATAAGAAATCTGTCTTTATAACACACCTACCATTTTCTTATCCCTACCAATTGAATTATTGAACTATCATAATGTCATTTATCAAAGGGTCCCATATATGAAATCTATTTCAAAATGTGAAATCATTTATCTGACCACCCAACAACTTGTCGAGTAATTAGATGGATTTAATCTTGAAACTTTAGTTTAATTGAATGAGTAAAGGATAAGTGTAAGCCAAAACTAATGCACTTAATGTGCATTAAGTGTTATTACTATGTTGTTAATTATTACAACAATTAATTATTAATTTTAATAACGTGTTAGAATATAATTTTTTGGCCTAATGCATACAAATTAAGTGTAACACATTTAATAAATTGACATCTAGCATTTGCAACAGCAAAGAAACTTCGTATAATTACATATCATTTTAGGAAAACCGTAATGCTTTATAGGACATTAATTTTCTATGAATAAAATACGAATTCACGTGTTTATTTACTGTTTCATTTCATACGAATTTGTACAAAAATTATTTTGTGGTTTAAAACTCAACAATTCGACCCAATACCAAGCCATCACATGCTCATTGAAAGTACTTCTGGCAACGAGCACAATACCATGCCACCAAATGGTCAAATGGAAACCAACTTTTATTATTTAGTAGTTTTGAAAGATTGTTAAAAAATTAAAGAAAAATATATTAATAATAATTTTAGCAATGATTTTAGTTTTAATATCTTAATCAGTACCTTAGTACTAATTAAAATTTGCCGATAAAAATTAATCTAATATTTATAGGATGTGGACAAGACGGCAGATTTAATGGGAGGAAAATAATTGAAAGTGAAAGATCTATACGCGTGCTTAACCTCTTCTGAAAAAGTGATTCTGAAAAAATATATACTTTTAAATATTTTATTGAAATATAAATGATTTTTGTTTATATATAATTATAAAAAAGTATTTTAAATTTAATTATAACTATTTATTTGAAAATTACTTAAATAGATTTTGAAATAAATAACAACTCATTTTTTTCCCTAATTCTATTTTGTTTTTAAATTTAGTGAAAACACTTAACTTTTCAAAAGTTAAGGTAATTTATCTTATATAAAAAAATTAAAATAAGGAGTCTTTTTTGTTTATTTTTTTTTAAGTTTTGTCGAGTTATATCATATGTGGCCATTGTTAATGTAAATTTGGATTTGTGTTTAACCAGAAAATTCTGCATATCTGGTTTAGTATTAATTATTGTTTCTAGAAGAATGGCAAATGTAAGGAACAAACAGTCGGGGTTTCAAATTATAACAATAAAATCCAAGGAGCTGGAGTCAACAAAACTTCAATGAAATGCTTTCTTCACTCTGTAGCCAATGGCTCTTTCTTCACTCCCACTTGGCTTCACTAAAATGCTTCTTCCTCTGCAAAGCAAGTCATATCCAACTCCTCAATGCAAGCCATTATCAAATAAACTTTCTAATAACTGTCAAAGAAATCTTCGTCGATCTGCCAATTTCAAACCTTCAATTTGGACTTACGATTATATTCAATCCCTAAGCAGTGAATATAAGGTATGTTTCAATACTTCATGTATACTTCATATTTGTGATCATATATATATATATACACACACACATACCACCTCGCTATTCAACACTTTAACCAAAAATAAGTTTTGAAGCAAAGAGATGGGTTTGAAACATAGATATGAAAAATAGTTAAATTGATGCAGGAAGAAAAGTACATAGAGCAAGGGAGAATGCTAAGGGAAGAAGTAAGGACGATGCTTGGAAGACTGGAAAATCCACTTGATCAACTTGAGCTTATTGATGTATTGCAAAGGCTTGGAATTGATTATCATTTTGGCAATGAAATAAAAAATATATTGGACAATGTTTACCATTCGGATGCATTCAGGAGAGAGAAAAATTTATATGCCACAGCACTTGAGTTCAGACTCTTAAGGCAACATGGTTATGATATCTCTACAGGTTTTGAAAGATTGAAATTGTAATTATTATTATTGGTTGAGATTGTCCAATATATACTAATATTTTCTAATGTGTGTGTGTATCATTGTTGTTTGCAGATGTGTTTGTTTGCTTTCAAGATGAAGTGGGTAATTTCAAGAAGAACCTATCTGTTGATGTTGAGGGAATGCTATCACTTTATGAAGCCTCATTTCATTTAATGGAAGAAGAAAGTATATTGGATGGGGCAAGAGATTTCACCTCACAATTTCTAAAAGAATATTTGAATCAAAATAGAGGTGACCACATTTCACTTTTAATCAGTCATGCTTTGGAGTTTCCATTACATTGGAGAATTCATAGATGGGAAGCTCCGTGGTTCATCAATGCATATGAAGGAAAGCCAAACATGAGTTCTGTTTTACTTTTGTTAGCTAAATTGGATTTCAACTTTCTTCAAGCTATCTACCACAATGAATTGAAGTATACATCAAGGTGATGCTACTCGTTATGCTAAAACAATTTTTATCTTTTTTTTTTTAAATTGATTCTTATTCTAATTTATGACCACGTTATATGAATAACCATTTTAAGATGATAAATGATATTTAAATATATATGTCACGTCTTCAATAAATGATACTAACAGTTATTTTTAGAAATATTAAAATTTATGAAGACAAAAATCAACAAAATTTTCTTGAGTAAATAAAGATATGTTCAATCATTTATAAAAATTAAACGCATATTTTAACTCTCTCTCTCTATATATATATATATTACGTTTTTCTACACATGTTGTATAACATGTACAATCCAGAACTTAAAAAATACTACAAAATTTGAATAGTTGTAGTGTGGCAACGTATTTGGTGGATTATTGTGTCAAATATAATACTTATTAATGTGACAAATAACAATTGTAGTTGTTATGATTAACAAAATATAATACTTATTGATGCTCTAAATTTTGTCCTTTTGTAAGATGGTGGAAGGAAACTGGCTTCACAGACAAGCTGAGTTTTAGTAGGGATAGGTTGGTAGAAAACTTCGTTTGGACCGTGGGAACAAATTTCAAGCCAGATTTTGGATATTAGGGAAACATGCATAATATCTACAAGTGGTATTATTTGGAAAGTATCACCGTAGGAAGGGCAATGATTGATTTGTTTAATTAAAAAAAAAGATTTTGACAATGAATGACTATGACTTGTTGAAATGTTAACTTCTTTAAAATCTTCCCTCATTTCTTGGTTATAATGTTTTCAATTAATATACTTGAGGTTATATTTTAAAAATGATTTTTACCCTATCTTACATCACAATAAAATTATTATGGTCATTATTAATTACATAATAAATTTAATATGACTAATAAGTGTCAAACTTTAATAAATTTTAATATGAATTAGGACACTTAAAGCAATGAATTAAAGTTGAATATCAATTTTCTTTTAATCTAAAAAAATCTAAATTAAACAGTTATTTTAATTAAGAGATAAAGATGAAAATTTTCTTTGATTTTTATTAAATTCTTTGTTTTACAAAAAACTAAGAAGGAAGGAAGACAAAAGAAAGAAGCTCAGTAAAATAATTACATTTGCTCAAGTTTCACTCAAACGAGAGTTCTTTCCCTTGAATGAAAATGCGAGATACAAAAATGAGTCATTGTCTATTTTTTTTTCAAGTGAAAGTGAGTCACTGTCTGATTTTTTTACTTGAGTAAACTGTTTCATGCTCAAGTGAGAAATCACTAAATCACACTTTAAAGAAAAGTGAACAAAAAAAAAAAAAATGGGAGAGTGAGAAAAAAAGAAGCAAGCCAAAAAGGTGAGAAAGCATACAATAGAGGATATTTGAGACATCATTCTTCATCCCTTTCCATCTTTTTCTTTTGTTATAATGACTATTATGAACAACTAAGTTTCTTTTTGAAATTGGATGTAATATTCAAATTTTATTTATTTTGATGATTATATATATATATATATATATATATATATATATATATAGTTTTCTATTTTTATAAATGTTGATAATTTTACTAATAACATCTACATATAACTCAATAACAGTTCTACTAGTTTGTTGTTGATATGTATTTATTATATCATCAATGTCTTCATCATCACATATCTCTAAAATGGTGTATTGTCTAGCATTTGTATCAATAAAAAAATGTAAAATTAATCTAAAATAACATGATTATGACCAAGATTAAATTTCAAACAATTTTTTCTTTTTAATGTTTTAAACTTAATCTTAGTTTTATCTGAATCACTTTCTTATTGCCTTCTAAATTCACTTCTTCATAAATTCTACTATTTCAATATGCAATATCAACAATTAAATTAATCTTTCATTTTTACAAATAAAAAAAATTAATTGAACAATTTTTATCACTGCCACAAATAAATTCCAACAAAAATCAATTTATTTACTAAAAGTAAATATTTTTTACATATTTAAAAGAGACCTCAGGGTCGCAACTGAGGATCGGGTTTTACAATCCCTTTCATCTCATCTTTTCTACACCTTTTACACGTCTCTTTCACATCCTCAATCTCGGTAGTGGCCAGTCCCTGATAACTATTGGAGCCTTGGGAGCGTGTCTTAGGATCACGAGTTCTTCTCATCTTTTTTTCTGTTGGAGACTCTTTTAATTTGCATTTACTTTTCAAGTTCTATGGATTTGTCTAGTATTATTTTTATTTTCTTTTATATTATACCGATCTAAATTCATAATTAAGATTACGGTGGATTCTTTACATAACTTTATGAGATCTTTATGATTAATAATAATTTTATGTTTTTTTATTGGTGTTTTTGCACTATATTTGTATGTTTGGAATTGACAACTCCTAAACATATCAGAATCAATTATATCGTAGGTCTCGTACTATATATAGTTAATAGATTTATAGGGTAAAACGACATAAAGAATTAGGATTGACTAAGTTTATTTCTTTTCTTTCAGTTGTTATTAAATTAACAATTTATAAGTTTTTTATGTTTTTTCTTCTTTTTTACCTTGTATGACAATTGGAGATAGTAATTTAAGATAAAAACTGCTAATAATGCATGACATTTGGGTATTAATAGGTTTAGTATGAGTGATTGACAATCATAGGGAATAAAATTAAAATTAATTTAAAAGAAAATATTACGAATTGTAAAAGTAAAACCATACGCTCTAAGTTTTTTTTGATCAATTTATTATTAGAGATTACACTATTTTTAATTCTATTTTAATCACTTTCATATTTAAATTCTTATTTTATTTAATTTCTTATCTTTTAAATTCAAATAATTAAATTAAAGAAATTTTATTAATTAAAAATAGTCATCGTAAGATGATATTTCATAAATTTATTTTAAATTTTTTTATAACATTTTGTAATTACACTTACCTCCTATAAACATGATGACGATACTACCTTTAATAGTGATGCCATACTTGTGTCCCTTTGATACATGAAATTATCCTAATTTTTTGCTATTTTTGTGATAATACTTATTTTAAAATAAAAAAAATTAAAATTTTATCAGCAATAATTACAATTTTTTGACACATGACCAAAGTCACGCCGGATAGAGATTAATTTTATTAAAACAATACTTTGGCAATTTTAAAAGAAGGTACTTTAAATTTATAATTTAATTTTAATTTTAAAAAATTGATTTTAAACGTACCTCTTTAAGACAATTATTTTAACAAATGTAATAAACCTAGTTATTATACCTATGCTAGCACAAGTTATTTATGAATAAAAATTAAATTTTTTTATCATATTTTATTATATGTTAATTGTTATATAAAAATATAAAAGAAAATGAAAAATATTTAAAATTTCAGAAAACAAAGTTTCAAATGTTTAATAGAAAATTTTATAAAATGTTAAAATAAAAAAAAACAGGAATAACAATTGTTATCGTTTGAAACATTTAAAATAAGGTATAAAGAATGAAACTTAATTAAAAGTATTTCATTTTATTTTATTTAATTAAACGTCTTATTTTCCTTCCATCCAATCGAAGAGGGAAAAGATGTAACTCATTTTTTATTTGATAATTTTTTTTATCATATGTAGACAAAACATAAGTCATTGAAAGTACTTGCGGCCACCCACCAGAACAATAATGCGATCACAAGGTAAGAATGTTATATTTATCAAAAACTTTTACAAATTGACTTAAATGTTTCATAAACTGTTGATGGATATTGTCATTCATAAAGCTAAGCATTTTCCACGTTTAAAAGATGTCGACAAAGTGTCGGAGCAATAAAATCTGAAGAAGGATTTGTAAGGTAGTGCCCACTGCCTTAAGAGTTGTGTGTGTGGTAGATAATATTCATTTGTGCTATCCTCAAATACATTCCTCCTATTTGTTAAAGTACTCAATGCTTTTTCCATGTTTTTAGAAGTACATGGATTAGTAAAATGCTATTTAACAAAATTTAAATATTTTTTTTAATATTACATAGTATATTTAATAATAAATTAATATAAAATTATAAGAAAGTTAAATTTAATAAAAATTTAAATTAACATAAAAATATAAAAAGTATCAATATGTTAAGGAACGTTTTAAAATAATAGTTCTTTTCGAATGGTTGGCACACTCGTGGAATAACGTTAAATTAATATAAAATATTTCCAAATGGTTGCCCTGGGCTGGCATACAGAGTCAAGAACTTCGGTTGTGCCCTATAAAAGCTTAAGTTGGATTTCAAAATATCACAGCAAGGCAACAAAATATTCCCAATATTGGTTTTTGGTTCTAGCTAATTAATGGCTAGTTGTTCACTTCCACTGGCAGCTAATAGCTTCACTAAAATGATTCTACCTCTAGAAAGTAGAAAGTCTTCATCTGCAGCAATCAGAAGCTCCAGTGTCCCTTATCCAACTCCTCAATGCAAGGAATTACCAGATCAAATTTGTAATAATCGTCAAACAATTCTTCGTCGATCTGCCAATTTCAAACCTTCAATATGGACTTATGAGTACATCCAATCACTGAGCAGTGAATATAAGGTATCATTTAATACTTCATGTGTGTTTCTGTTTCATATATTAAATCTCGCTCCTTCCTCATTCTTTATAGAATAAATGCTTAACAAAGATGGTCTGTATTTCCTCCAGTGTTGTATTACTGTGGAATTCCTCTAGATTTCTATGCATATTATTTTTCAAAGCGTTCCATAATTTTAGAGAAAATTAGAGTTGTAATTGTCTAGTCCTTCACATTTACTATCATCACATCCTACTCACAAAACACTCCCTGAAAGTACTGTCAATTTTTGGCCACAAGAGGATCTGTACCAACTATCAAGTCCGAGTGGGGTTAAGATATTTTCATTTAAATGACTTTAAGAATATATGTAAATATTAAATTTTAGATAATATATCTACAAATATTTAAATTAAACGAATTTTGATACAAATAATAATAAAAATAATATAAGATAATTCAATAGTTAGATTTATCAATTTTATATTTTATAAAAAATTATTAAGTAATATAAATACGCAAATTTGATATTTGATATTAAGAGATCCTTACTCACAAAAAATATTATTTATTTTCTTAAAATTTTATAAAAAGTAGACATTATTTTTATTTTTATACAATTATAAATTAAATTTTTTTATTTGAAGAGTTAGTATAATTGTTGCTTTTCTAAATAATTTTTTATAAACATTTAAAAAAAAAGAAGTTTCTAGGTTACGTGACTCACTTTAATTGTCACTATTTATTATTCTTTCCATTTATGTTTGCCTTTCATTCACTCCTTGGCTTCCTTATCAGGTTATTTAAAAGGACATGGACAAGGATTGAGAACGATGGTTTGTTTTTGGAGGAGAGCGGAAAGAATGACAAAATTTATATTTTAAATAAATATATTTAAAATTAATATTTTTAAAAAATAAAAATATAAATTAATATATTGACAAAAATCTAATATATTAATAATATTTTTATTATAAATAATATATTTTAAAATTAAAAAATACGTCCTTTCATCCCCTTCCTCTCCCATAAACTTTATAATAATAATAGTCAAACAAATTTTTCGTCGATCTGCCAATTTCAAAACTTCAATTTGAACTTATGATTATATCCAATAACTAAGCTGTGAATAAAAGGTATCATTTAGTACTTACGTACAGTGCTTACTATTTGTGATCAATTCGCAAACACCCATTATGCAATTACAAGTCCTTATAACTAATCTATGAAACAATAATGTTCAGGTAACATCATGTAGTTCAATTCATGCAGGATACAAAGTACCTAGAACAAGGCAGAGTGCTAAGGGAAGAAGTGAGGAAGATGCTTGGAAGAGTGGAAAATCAACTTGATCAACTTGAGCTTATTGATGTGTTGCAAAGGCTTGGAATTTCTTATCATTTTAGCAATGAAATAAAGAAAATATTGGATAATATTTACAATATGGATGCATTCAAGAAAAAGAAGAATTTATATGCCACAGCACTTGAGTTCAGACTCTTAAGGCAACATGGTTATGATATCTCTACAGGTTTTGAAAGATTGAACTTGTAATTATTATTATTGATTGAGATTGTCACATACTTGACATTTCCTGATGTCTGTGTGTATTATTGCTGTTGCAGATGTTTTTGTTTGCTTTCAAGATGAAATGGGTAATTTCAAGAAGAACCCATCTATTGATGTTGAAGAAATGCTATCACTTTATGAAGCCTCATTTCATTTGATGGAAGAGGAAAGTATATTGGATGAGGCAAGAGATTTCACCACACAATATCTCAAAGAATATTTGAACCACAATAAAGGTGACCACATTTCACTTCTAATTGGTCATGCTTTGGAGCTTCCATTACATTGGAGGATTCCTAGATGGGAAGCTCAGTGGTTTATTGATGCATATGAAAGAAAGCAAAACATGAGTCTTGTTTTACTTCAGTTAGCTAAATTGGATTTCAATTCTGTTCAAGCCATATACCAACATGAATTGAAGCACACATCAAGGTGAGCTGATTGATTTCAGTTAACAGTAACTTGAGAAAATTAGGTACAAACAATTTTGTTTGAGGGTTTGGGTTAAATTATCATACATCATGATTGATTGTGCATCTTATTTTGACCGGGTTAAAAAAGATTCAAAAATATTAAATATTTTCGAAGTTCAAGAAATGAGATAAGAAATTTACTTAATTTTTTCAGCACAAATTGTTTATAGGAAAACAAATATGTTCTCAAAAGAGCTTACATGAAGGCTTGTATTATATACTTGCTTCTTTGGATAAAGTGAAAATAACTTAATGTGATAAACTATATTTACTAGAACAAATTTTAAAAAATATTAAAATTCTAAGTTATTTCAATAAATTTCTCTCAAACTCTTTTAAGTGTCTTAAATATTTAATAGCGTACTGTTAAGATATAAAATTCTACTTTGGTGGATTGGTAATAAATTAAAGACTATATAAAAAAATGACTTTAAATTTAAAATTGTCAAAACTAATTTAAACAAGTAAGCCAATTATGCTCAAGTCCATTCACTCTTTCTCCAATATTGTTATAATTTTTTTAAAGCAAAAACCTTGCCATAATCCTAACATATTTTAGATCAGTGTTTATCAATATTCAACTTTGCATGGTTTTCTTTGGTAGACATCGGTATTTATACATCCTATTTTTTGTTGTACTATTTCAAACTAATTTTGAGAGTGCTGAATACCTTCTAAAACTTATGTAACATCCCATTTTTCCTTCTCCTATATTAACATAAAACAATTATACCTTGTTATTGTTAATGGAATATAATACTTTGAATCAATGTTCAAAATTTTGTCTTTTTAAAAGATGGTGGAAAAGAACTGGCCTCGGAGAAAAGTTGAGCTTCAGCAGGGATAGGTTGGTAGAAAGCTTCATTTGGACAGTGGGAACAAATTTTAAGCCAGATGTTGGGTACTTCAGAAGTGTTATGACAAAGATCAATTCCCTAGTAACCACAATTGATGATGTTTATGATGTATACGGCACCTTGGATGAACTAGAACTCTTCACAGAAGCAGTTGACAGGTTAGCATAGTTGCAGTTCTATATAATGATTTTCCTCCATTTTCTTTTTCAAATTTCTCTTGGAAAGAAAACAAAATAAGATTATTAAAATAAATTCAACTAATTATGCATTTGTTTAAAGTTTTTCACAATGAATGAATGATTAATAGTATTTTATTTATGAATCTAGATGGGATCTAAATGCAATGGATAATCTCCCGGGCTACATGAAAATATGCTTCTATGCACTCTATAACTTCGTAAATGACACGGCTTTTGAAACCTTAAAGAACACTGGCTACTACATCGCTCCCTACCTAAAGAAATCGGTAAGCACTTTTCTGATTGTTTTTAACCCATTTATTTGCCCGTTATATGTTTAGGTATAAATTTGAGGTTATATATATATAGTATTTAAAAATACTGAATACTGAAATATTAGATTTTGGAAAAAATTATAAAAATATAGGATATAAAATATTTTAAAGTACCAGATGATTTTTGAAAAGTTTTCAATTTTTTTCTAAATTCCATATTTTTGGTATTTAAATTGTTTTTCTATATAAAAAAATCATAAATTTGTGGACAAACCATATTGTGTTTAATGTTTGTTTCAAATGATAGCTCTTAATCTTATTAATTCTGTTTAGAAAGTATTATATATTTTATTAATTTTTTAAAATTATGTCAATAAAGTTTATTATCAAATCTATTAATTAAGCGTGTAATTAAATTGTTACCCTCAAACACACATAAGAGTATTAATGTCAACTTGTTTTATTTGTGTAATTTTCAGTGGACAGATCTATGTAAATCATATTTTATTGAGGCAAAGTGGTACCATCGTAGATCTACGCCAAGCTTCCAAGAATACATAGAGAACGCATTGGTTTCAATTAGTGCACCTGTTGTACTAGTCCATGCTTATTTTTCGATTCCACACTCATTCAACAAGGAACACGTGGTTTACTTAGAAGAATACTCTGAGATAATTCGATCTTCAGCAGTGATTGCACGCCTTGCTAATGACCTTGCATCATACAAAGTACCTTGTCAATCTCATTTCTATTTTTCTCAAATTCATTGTTTTGTCATTCTTTCTTTCTTTTTTTTTTTCACTAATTTTTGTTTTTATTTATTTATAGCGTGAAAATGAGACAGGTGATGTTCCTAAGTCAATTCAATGTTACATGAATGAATGTGGAGCTTCTGAAGGAGAGGCTCGTGAGTATGTAAAATCCATGATGTGTACAATGTGGAAGAGAATGAATAAAGAGGCTTGTAATTCTTCTTTATCTCCAAGTTTCATAGAAACAGCTATGAACCTGGCAAGGATGGCATTGTGTATCTACCAACATGGAGATGGTCATACTGTTCAAGATCTTGAAATTAGGAATCGCATATTATCATTGATTATTCAACCGATTCCTACTATATGTTACAACTTTTAAGTAAATAAGGGAAACGAGACTTACAAGACTTGAGGATATGATCTTTTAAGTGTGAATACACACTTTTCTAAAAGTAATATTTTGTCTCATATAAAAGCATAGGATACTACAAAATTTGTCTCTGAGAAACAAAAAAGATTGATAATGATAATTCACGCTTTATGAATTAATGTCTAATAGGAACTCAAGGTAAAATCAGTATATCTAATAGGAACACAAGGTAAAATCAGTTTTGTGTTATTGATGTTTCAAAGAAAAAATAGTTTTGTAAGTATTTTTTAACTTTGATGTATATTGTATGATTACATTAGAAACAAATTTCATCATCATTCATAATAGAACATGAGTTTTATACATATAAAGGAATTTCTAGAAAATAAATTATAAAATATAACAACTTGGTAGTTACTAACATAACTATTTGGTGGTTACCATTAAAAATAACTACCTAAGTAGTTATTTTTACAATTAACTTTCTCTTTTCTTATTTATAATTAATATCAAATACCATATTTTAATGATATTAATTATACAATCATGGGTCATAACCATGTAAATACTCTAAAATTCCAACATTATATGAGAACAAAAATAGTTAAAACACTAGTCATGATTTTACGGGTTTAAAAAATATGATGGATATATCTAATTTGGGTATTTGATTTAATGAATATTTTTTTTGTTTAATCTCTTTATTTTACATTCATAATATATATATATATATATATATATATATATATATATATGATCAAAATAAATAACATAAATTGTGCAAAAGTCTTTTTTTTTTTTAAAAAAAAAATCTACTAACTTCAACTTGCTCATAAATTCTAAAATGGCTAAAACAAATTTAGAAGTAAGATTTTCTTACTTATATAACCTTTGATTCTAATTTGTTACAAGCCCAACAATATATAGGATTTAATATCTCAATATCCCCTCTCAAGTCGAACTAGATTTGTACTAATTGTGACATACATTTTTTATAATCTTTTTCTAAAGTTCAAAAACTTTTAATCTCACATAATTGGATTAACAATAATTTAAAAGTATATAGTTAAGATGATTATAAGTTTATATTTTTAAAATTCTTTGAATAAATAAGTTATTTAAAGTTAAGCTTAATTTATCTTCTAATTTTGAATTGGAACTTCACTATTTGTTGAAATATGGTATTGATTTTGCTCTCAAAAAGCCTATAAAAGATGCATAAAAATAAAATAAAAATGAAAGGTCCAAAAAAATAAGATAAAATCAAAATGAAAAATTAAGCTAGGCCGAAAAAAATGAATAGAAAAGGGCTAAAAGAAAGTAGATTGGTGAAATAAAAATAAAATGCATGTCAAACATCAAAGTTAATTAACCTTTTGAGGGAGAAAGTTAGAATAATGTTAAGTCTCATATTTATAGATTACCAACAGTTTTAAAATATAAAAGAAGATAACTTTATGTTTGAATTGATAATTTGGATTAAAAGAACCTAAAGAGGATCTAAATCCAATTCCCAGATTGCTCTTATATTATTTGTTTACAAATTTTCATTTTTCACTGTAAACAAATTGGCACGCCCAGTGGGACATTATTTGTGTGTTTTATGATTGATTGCTTTGTTGCATGATATTACGTAACATTATGGCTAATAGAGGAAGGAATAGTGATTGTAGTTTTGGGAATGGTAATTCTAGAAATGGGGATGGTAATACTAACCTAGAAAGTGTGAGCGGTGGTACTAACACTTCCTCACTACCAACAATGACGATGACACTACCTACGTCGTCATCCGCACTAGTTAGCCAATTTATAGCTACTACACCAACCAATCCCGACATGAATTTTGGCCCAAGGCCAAGGCTGGGTGACCAGCCATTTGGCCTGCCTCCTGTGTCAAAGCTGCCTATTTTTGGTGTACAAACTTATTCTAACCCTGTGGTGACAACCGTCTCGCCCCAAAGTCACACCATTCCACCGGGAGTAGGTATGACTCACACCATTCCACCTGGAATGAATACAATTGCTGGAATACGAGGAGCCTAATTTGCGTTTGGAGCTTCGAGCGGGGAATCATTGCCTTCTAGCTCTTTCTCACGAGATGGAGTAATCATGCCACAAGGCACGTGGAAAGAGCTAGTCGCTCGATCCCAAAAGAAAAGAGAGCTCATTATCATGGGAAAATTGTAAGACAAATTGTACCTAGACAATTGAATAATTTCATAAATCCCTATGTTCCTCCAGCTATCCTACTTTTCATTTTTTATTCTATCTAACTATGGTAAATACAAGTCCTTGGTGATAGGAGGCATAGTTCGAAAGATTTTCTGAGCATTTTCGAGAGATTCTAAATTATATTTTGAAGAAAAAGCAAGAATCCCATCAGCAGAAAGGGGAAACTCAACAGACTCTTGGGGAATATAAGGACCCAAAAATGCATGAGGTTTTGAGTTCAAAAAAAAAGGGATGAGTACTTGAAATTTCCAAATAGCAAGTTTCTCCTCCTCTAGAGGCAGCTCAGGAAGATAGCTCGAATGACCCAGAGGCACGAGCTCAACATTTGAGAAAGATGAAGGAACCTTTGATTTGGACGCCATTTCAAGAGAAAATGAAGAGAAGAATAGAGGAAGCAAGGAAGACTTCAACACAAAAGGAGCAGAAGAGAGATAACAGAGCTCTTAACAGGAGGAAGTAAAAATGAAAGCGTAAAAAATGAGAAGGTAACTCCACCTTATATACTGGTCTCAACCTCGTGCAAGGCCCACGAAATAGCCTAAATCCAGATTATTTTGGCACTTAGTGGGAAGTTGAAGAGATAATGAGGCGCCTTTTCAATCAAAAATCACCCCAAATCCCCCATAGAACGGCGTATGTCTCTGTAATGGGATGTTTTGGGCAACTACCAGGCACAAGCTGCATTAAATGCGCTGACTTTGGGCGACGTGCCCGACATAAAGCAGGTAAGTGGCAGAGATGCTATAAAAATGGCAGGAAATTTGAAAATAATTTTTTTCCAACAAATAACAAAATAAAAATATTAAAATTTCATAATATGATAAATTAATATTTTGGGGGGCATCTGTTTGGGGTAAGGAAAAATTTTTCTAAGTTATAAAACCTTATTGGAGGAAGCTTTTTCGAGAAGTTTTGAATAGTTTTCAAGTCCACAAAACTGGAAGCTTTTTTTGAGGTGTTTTGAGCAGTTTCAAGCCCCTTACGCCCAAAATTGCTCAATGACTGGTAAGAAATTACGCCAAGTCCACAAAACTAGAAGTTTTTTCGAGGATACCTTGGCCCCTGAATTAAGAATAGCCAAAACTGCTCAAAAAATAGAAATAATTAGAAATTATTCCAAGTCCACAAGACAAAAGGATTTTTTTGAGAAGTTTTTGAGTAACTCTCAAGTCCTTACACCCAAAACTGCTCGAAAAACAAAAATAACAGGAAAATATGCTGAGTCCACAAGATTGAAAGTCTTTTCAAGGAGTTTTTGAGGGTTCCTAAGTCCCTAGCAACACAAAATTGCTCGAAAAATAATAAGTGGTCAGAAAATTATCTAAGTCTACAAACCTGGTTGAGCTCTAGATTTCCACAAGAATTGCTCAAAATTAGTCAAAAAATAGAAATCAAGGGAGAAATTATTTTAAGTCTATAATGCTAAATGAGACTCTTAGATTTCTCTCAGAACTGTTCAAAAAAAAAAAAAAGATTCTAAGTTCATAAGGGTCATGATTGGACTCAAAAGTTATTACAAGGCTCAGAAGCGGTTACTAGCAGTTACCACCAAATGAAGGTATAACAATACGAAGAAGGATGATGGGCAATAGTAGTTATGAAAGAAACCACAACCAATAGCACGATCAGAGCCAGTTGTGGATAATGGGTAGCAGTTGAAGGCAATTACCGAGAATTGTCCGCGAAAAAAGGAGAATGATGGTGGTTTCCCTTGCCTATAAATATGTCAAAGCTTCACTTTCTAGAGGATGGCTTTTGGCACCCAAACACCTGCACCGCGCCAGACACCAGCTATCAGGAGACTCACGGTGTTTTTCCTCATTGCTAGGAGTCGTACGTTTTAATTTCTGCACATTTATCTTTCCCGCCTTTTAATTCTAGTTCGTTTGCTTACTTCTTTTCTACAATTTGGTTCTTATTTTAGCAAATTATTATAAAAGCCTCTGTACTGTAATTCAGTTTTTTATTATTCTTGTTTAACAATTTATTTTGTGACGTCCATTTAATCACAACACACTTAAAAGAACCTAAGGAGGACCTAAATCTAGTCTCCAGATTGCTCTTAGATTATTTGTTTACAAATTATCATTTTTTACCGTAAACAGATAGGTTGAAAAGAAAATAACAAATGTAATAAAGTAACACATGTGATAGGTAAATAAAGTATTTTTGCAATATCTTTTATACGTATTTATTATCTTAGAAATATAAGATAATTGAATTTTTTTTTAATGTTTACTTAAGGTTACATGTTAACAATAACATTCAATATATCTCTTAAATATTTTAAATTATCATAAAAATATATCTTTGAATATCTTTTATGATTTTGAGATAATAAATTTATTTAACTTTATTAAATTAATAGATTGGTTTCTTAACTCCTGTGTTTGTTTCGACTTTAACTAATAACTTTTTTTTTTATATATATATAGGTTTCATATGTTTACATCTGTTTTAATTTAGTCCTCTCCATTGAACATGACTGGTGATGTTATTAACTTTGTTGATGTGTAACTAGAAGTTGAATAATATAATATTGTGTGATTCTTTTCAAAGTGACGTGTTTCTTGTCTCCACACAGATGTACAAAAGGAGTACATATTGAAAGAAGAAAGAATCACAGAGTTCTTCATCATTCTTTGACAAGAATGTATAAAATATCTTGTGAAATTATTGAAGAACATTAATTAAGAAATCATTGAAGTGGATGAAAATTATTAATTATAGTGAGAGTGTTTGGAAGAACAAGTGCTAAACTACTTACTATTATGGAA